GCACCCATTAGACTCCGGACCCGCGAACTTCCAATTACGAATCAAACCCGTAGCCTCTGGGACCTGACTCAGCAGCCTATGAATTCTAATTTCTATCACTTTGTATCACTCTGAAGATTGTAAGTTTACATCACCATTTGACGAAATTTTCACCTGTTTTCTTGTTGAACACTTGGTTCAAGGAGTTAAAATCCCTTCGCCTGAAACACTTTCTTCCGTTCATATACACCTCAGTACTACCCGTGTTGAACGTAATGTAAACTAAGCACATTCTGCTGCTGAAAGTAAGTGCTAGTATAGCAGCCCTATTAGAAAAACTTGACTAGTTATGAGCGTTGTTGCAAAAGACAATGAAAACACCATGAATAAAGTAGCTAAGTTGTACAAGAACTCCTTAAATCAATTCTCAGTTAGATTTTATACTGGAAAGCAGACCTACAAAAATGATAAAATTTCAAAAAACCCATCATAAAGTCATTGTCTGAGCACTAGTGCCTGTAGTATTACTTAACATAATTTTAAAATGTATAGCATCTCTCAGTTCGCAATGTCAAATATTTCAGAAAATCAGAACTCTATTGACTGTGGTGTCGAAAAATGAAAAAGCACAGAATTCAAATAATCCTACCACTTATTTTTATACACAGTCGTCATTATAATTCCACTTCAGTTTATTTATCTGGCATAGTGACATATTTTTAGTCATGGTATGGAATTTTACGCACAACTTACTGATCATTCTCGTTTTAAGCCAAGCAAAGAACTTTAAAAATCTCTTTAATAATTAATATTTAGCTAGCTTTTTTCACCTTATGATAGCCTGCTTGCATCCGTTAGACTGTTTTTAATCTGTTTACTTTGTACCAGTAGCTTGTGTGGGAGGTCGGATGCAAATCCACGCTCAAATTGTATTCAAGCTCAACTAGAAGTTCACTAATTGAATTTAAAGATAATAGAAGACTATCTATTCTAAAATACTTCCACGATAAATATGAATTCTTCTCCATCTTACTAAATACTTAAGTGAATACGTTTTTCTAATCCTAACCACCTAGAATACGAAGAATAAATATATGCGTAATTGTTTGCAAAACAGATTCTTTTTTGTCGGTTTCTCAATTAGTCAAATGCTCTTAGCAAGAAAAACTCTCTAGACAGGTGTATTCAGTAAAACTGCAGGCTGTTGGAACACTTTTCATGGTGGTTTTTTTCTTCTGTTAAAACTAAGCCTGAGAAAGAATTACAGAAGAACGGATAGTTGAAAAGCACAATATAAAACGAAGAGTATTACTTAACTTACTCTTTTTTTCATCTTTTTCTCCTCATCCTACAATCACTTTCTATCTGATAAAAGAGTTCTTTTTTCTATGATTTCTTAATACCATTGATTTATTCAAAGCTTTAAAACAAATGAATCGGTATACTTAATTGAACACTCGTGATACTTATCTCTACTTTTTCGCAATATTATGAAAAAAAAGCATCGAATAAAATGCCTCTAGTTGAGAATATCACTGTGGGAATTTTCTATTTGACCATATGTTCATATAATACTGCTTGAAGACTGTTAAGTTCTAATTGAATATTTTTTTCCACTTTCTGTGAGTCTGATTTCATAAAAAAAGGACTTAAGTGTCTTTTTTGTATAACAGACTAAATTTTCCCACCAATAGAGCTGATTTTCAGAAAAAAAACCCAAACATTCTTAGGCTATTTTTGGTTGTTATTTCATTTAAGATAATGTTGAGAAATTAGTTGAGATTTTAGCTGTTTTGGAAGAGGTAAAGGTGTTTATCAGCTCACTTAAAGTATCTGATTATTCAAAGGAACGAAAATGTAAACTTCCACTAATGCCTGTATCCTAATAATATACCTATTTGACTTTCCTTAAAAGTCTTTTGATAATAAACCTGCCAAAAATGTGGGCATCAGATACACGACCATTTCCTCTTTAAGACGATGTTTCACAAGTTTCTGAACATAGTAAAATTACCCATATAGACATTTGTAAGGCAAAATAATTAAGCAAAGAAATATTTACTTTTCAATTAGATCCTCATCTCCGACTATACTCTAATATACACTTATAGCATTTTTAATAGAAATATGAAACGTCTTCACTGATCTAGGGACGATATGTTTCTCAACAACAATCAGTTAGTATCAACATGCCAAGGAGGTGATAAATGACAAAGAAAATCAATACAAACAATTAAACGGTAGAAATGGTTGTAAGCGTATTATTGTGGAACAATACAGAGTAATTAAGGAATGATCAAGTGTTCAATTTGTTTACGCAACAAGAAATTAAAGAGAAATAAAATAGTTCGGGCAATTATAGTTTTAATAAGGCTTAGAAGGAGGGCAAAGTAGTCAGATTTTTCCATTTATGTAACAATGGCCTAGGTAATGAAAGTAGCTGTAAAAATGTCTTCGAAGCACACAGATTCGGCTTCTTCAGGTGGATTCCGATGACTTCAGCTATACGCAGAAGACGAAGTCGTAAAAGCAAAATAAGGATCAGTTGGAATGCCATAAATGTACACAGAGGAGGCGAAATCACGTGATTTGTTTATATTCCTCGGGCGTATTTTTCTTTAGCTACCTGTAACGTGATCAGCTTGAACACTCGATCATTCCTTAATTACTCTGTATTAATTCAAAATTATGCACTGTTTAATCCACTTGTTGTAATCATTTCTACCGTTTGATTATTTGTACTGATTTTCTCTGTCCTTTATCACCTCCTTGACATGTTGATACTAACTAATTATTGTTGAGATACATATCATCACTAGATCGGCGAATATGTTTCATATTGTATTAAAAGTGCTAAAAGTGTATATTAGAGTAGGGCTGGAGACGAGGATCTAATTGAAAAGCAAGTATTTCTTCGTCCAGTCATGGTCTTAATAGTAACCTAATATTTATTTGAGATTGGATACTGTAAGTTCTCAGTAGATACAATAGAGATTGGTAACTCAGGTATTCTCTGAGAAGACAACTCAGAGAATTCAGAAACATTAAAATTCTCAATAACATGTTACATTTCCACCCAGAAATCTACAAAAATGCTCATGGATATACATATAATTCTACTGATTTGAGTTTTTTCTAAAACTAGGAGGATTCAACACAATTTCATATCATAAATTGAAATTGATTATCTCAAGGAAATAATAGCTTCAAAAGTCATTTTGGGAAAAACTTAAAAGAGAACATGCACACTTCAAGTTGAAGAAATATACATTTTTCCTAGATTGTATACTTGTGATGAGATTACTTTCAGTAGTGTTATTTACGTGATAAATGCACTCAGTTTGTTCACTCATCTGTTTTCTTTTTTGAAACGGAAACCTTACCTCCTCCTAATAATGCTATACACACGCTTTCAAAGCATGTGATGTAAATAATATTCAGGTATTTATAGACTTTCAAAATAAAACTATGATACTTTTGCTTTTCAGTACTATGTGTGTAATGTTTTTTTTTATCCTTCACGTTCTTCAGTGGAACATAGGGCTTCAAGCTAGTGACTTGAAGCTTCTGTAGCAATGTTTATTTTACAGGATGGGGTTGCTAGCCCCATGCCCAACCTTTCCTCTTCACCAGCATTATTTCTAGCTTAGCGAGGTAAAGGAGTGCGTCGGCCGGGGATCGAACCCCTGACCATATTCATGGTCGGCGAGCGTCCTAACCACTATGCCACCGACGCAATGTGTAATGTAAAAATTGTAAATGATATGAACAGATTTAATCATATTCTAGTTTAATGTGATTTCGAGAAAACAACTAACAGTTATCACTACACAGTAATCAGCGTACCGAAAAACAACAACTAAAGCATGCCATTATTTTTTAACAGTAAGTAAACAAACTACTGTTTCCATATGATTTCAGAGACTGTCTTTTTATAATTAAGATATAAGCCGAGTTTAAACAACTAAGAAGTTTGGTGATTTTGTTTCCATCATTTATGTATGCAAAAAAAGCAGATTTCGTTAGCCGCATTTTCGGCGTACACCAAAACTTTCCAAAAAGAATTCAGTAAGAGTATATCATTTGTATTTAAGTGTTGGTTTGTATGGAATTGATTGGTTACAGGATTTCATCATGAGCTGACATTAGTTAGAGAACCATTGGAAAATCCCGGTGGGTGCGAACTGGTGAAGAGTCCCAAACTACACTGACGAAACAGCTTTCCACTATTCCCAGGTTTTCCAATGGTTCTCTAACTAATGCCAGCTAATGATGAAGTCCTGTAACCAGTCTGTCAAATCCCTACAAACCAACACTTGAATATCAATGAGATGCTCACTAGCGACTTGCCCTGTTCAGGTAGGTAGTTACCTGGGGTTCTAGTGAGAAGTCGGGACCAGTAGGGTGCAGCAGGTCGAATGTGAGGATAAATACTCGCCGGAGACATTGGCTAGGGGTCGCGCTATGTCGTGAATTGGCAGAAGTTAGAATTCATGGGCCATTGGATCAGGTCCCAGTGGCTTAACGGTATACGAGCTCGCCTTGTAACCAGAAGGTCCTGGGTTCGAAACCCGGTGGGTGTGTACTGATGAAGTGTCCTAAACTAGGACGAAACAGCTGTCTACTACTCCCAGGATTTCCAATGGTTCTCTAACTAATGTCAGCTCATGATGAAATCCTATAACACTTCTCTTTGAACCAAATATGCATCTAAACTTAAATACTTTATCCTTGAGCTGAATGGACTTGGTTTGTTATTGTGGAGAATTTATAGTTTGTAAACTTAAAAAGCTTTACATAAGATCTATGAAGACACAATCTAACTGCTACAATCATCGCCTAAACGGATATGATGCACAGGATGCTGGTAGGTCGGAGGCAGTCTATAAGGAGTCCCTACAACTAATTTTCATGAATAATGACATTTTCCAACTCAAAAATCTTGTTTTCCTCTACACTGCTTTAGTTTCACTTAAATGAACCACTAGTCATATTTTATTTTATCTTATTTTAACCAATAGGAATCTACCGAAATTGCTTAAAGCATCCTATGCAAAGTTCTCTGTATCCTATGGTGGGTATCTACATGAGAAACATGTAAGTTTCCCTTATTAATCTGAATGATACTTATTCAAACTAAAGTGGATATTATTTGTTTGTTTACTAAGTATTTAAACAACAATAATAATGATAATTCTCCCATAATTTGTTTCTTTTGAAATAAAGGAAAGAAAGTGTAGTTACTACAGTGATTAGGTTTGTGTATTATATTAAATAATTCATGGGAATCATAACGACCTTGTTATTCCCATTGTTATGTGATTAATTCAATAATAATAATAAACATAATAATAGCCACAATAATAAAATTGAAGGAATCATAGCTTTATTCTCATTTAAATTGTTTGAATTATGTATTGTATTTATGCTGATATAGCTTTAACCATGATAAATAAAAAAAGAAGCTGTGGCAGAAAGAAAAGAATACTCAATAAGATGAACACACGTTGTATTCCCGAAACTATAGACTTAATATAATACCAGTGCTGTTGTTATTCCAAAGAGTACTACATCTTGACAGTGCCAGATGGTTGGAGGCGATCGACAGGAAGCCTCGGACCTAGGTTTCGTGATATTTTGCACTCATCAGTCAGCAGGGCGTATCCGCAACCTTGAAGGAACTCATCTCCCAGCCCTCTAAGATTCTAACTCGTATCATCCAGTGAGTACTGAAGTCAGAGACGTTACCACTCAGCAGGCTATTCGGGTTCGCGATTGACCTCCTGGAGGACTGTATTGGGTACTTTAATTAGACACTAGTAACTAGGTTGCCAATACACCTTCCTGACGAGTGCCAACAAACACGAGATCTAAGTCCAAGGCTTTGTGACGATTTTCTTCAACCATCTAATATCATCAAATCAATGTGCACCGTAATAGCAAGCTACCTAGAATGGTGGCCGCATTGCAAACCTGACTGATAGAATTCAGTCTGCATCAAACAAAGGACTAGACACATCACATTAGTTACTAAAGTCCAATCAGAGTACTACATCTATTAATATTGCCGCAGACTGTCACAGTGAATGTATTCTCAACACTCTGTAAAGTGTCACTTCTGACCGGTGAAATTTGCAGGAGTGTTTCCACCCACAGAATCTTTATGGAACCAGTTCTCATTCAGTTATTAGGCTTTTTCTACAACATTTTATTTTAAATTACGGTCGACAGTGATGAACAGTGTTAATCCTATTCTCCAGGATAATGTAACAACTGATGGTTCAGTATTACTGAGATCACAAGTTATTCTGTTAATAAATACAGAGCAAATATCAACAGTATTATTGATCAAAACAAAGATTTCACACTAACTCTGACAAAACTAGAAAAGGGAAAAAATAAACGCATTCCTCAGTGATGTCTGCAAAGACATTTTTTCTTATTCTTACACGTTGCCAGTGGATTATAGGTCTTCAAGGTAGAGCTCTGAATTTTCGGTGGCAGTTGTATTTGGCTTTACGGGGTGGGGTCGCTCTTTATCGGCATTTCATTACTGGATTAGTGAGGTAAAGGAGTGTGTCGGCCGGGAATCGAGTCCCAGACCATGTGGATAGTCGGCGTGCGTCCTAACCACTGTGCCACCGACGCAAAGCCCACGAGTAGGCTTTGGGAATTCATATAACTTTGAAAGTGAATATGATGTTGATATTTTGTAGAAAAGTTATGTAAAAATTACAGTGTAGAAGAGTTCTTTTTTCGCTCCCATGTATCAAAATATGTTAACGCAAAACATGAAATTCCATGTTCATGGTACTTAGTCAAAATCCTTTTTTTACTGTGAAATTTCAATTTAACAGTGACAGGTACTATTTATCACAAACTCTCAGCATCATTTCCACTGGATTTTAGATAAGATGTTTTTACTTATTATATTCTAACTTCTCATTTACCCTGGAATGTTATTTATGTTTATTTGATGTATCTGCACTAAATGTTTGAACCTCATTTTGGAGTCGTTTCTCCTCAGGGAGTTTGACTGAATAGTTTCGTATCATTCTTGTTGAACAAGAGGCGGCTCAGTAGACTGGTGAATAAAGCTTACCCCTCTTAATCAATGAGCGCTGGGTTCGAGTCTCTGGGAAAATACCATCTCCCACTCTGACTGTAGGTACATCCAACTAACGAAGCTTAAATGGCATGAAACACGAAGTTACTTGACTACAGTGTCACCCACAATAAAACAAGTGGTTTTGTTTCAACTACTGTTCTTTACTGTTCCTTATTTATCTTATATTATATACAAATAGTTTCAATTTTTTGAACTGTTCTATTTTTAACTTGTCAAATATAAAATGTTTTTGAAGCGTAAAAACCACTAATGTTTGTCGTGATCAAATAAGCAAACATTCGCCTAAGAATGTGAGAAATATTTTTTGTGTAAATAATAATGTGTATCAGTAACTTGTGCAGCACCGCATTTTCAGGAAGTAAATAGAACTCACAACAGACAGTAAAGACGAGCAAACAACATTTAATCATTTTTTATTTCCTTATTATTATCGCCTTCCTATTAAGTGGTAAAAAATGAGGTGGAATGACGGTTAGCTTAACAAATATTTCCCTTAAAAAAGTTATATGTAGGAAAAATATGCTTTCTTAATATTATTTGAAAGATACTAATTCCAAAATGTTGTTTCGGATGAAACAAACTATTGGAAAATAATATAAATTTAGTTAGTGGTATAATTTAACAGGATGTCTAGTAATTTTAATTAGCTGAAAGCTAAATATTTATGCACAAAGAGTGAATTCACAACTGCCTTGTTTGTCTGGGCAATTTTTCGATATCTCCCGTTGTTTAACTTATAGTGTAATGAAATCCTTGTTTTCTGACGACACGTCAGCTCCTCATTTTGAACGCTTAAATGATGTTTAAACGTTGACATATTGCTTACCTCGTGGTGGCTAACATCGCGATTCAACAACTACACTACAGAATCATCATGTGAATCATCTCGAGTAAGCACTCTAGTTACCGCCGGTAGGTCAACGTAGCATGCACCGTTTAAAATGCCAGAGGGATAGCTAAAAGGCCACTGGGTCACCATTACGCATTAAAAATATAGGTACATTCGGGTGATGACTCTCCATTAGACAACAGTAGACGTCCTGGACTCCACTTCTATCCAAAATTACCAAATAATATTGTGTTTAACCACTGGATAAATTAAAAATTTTTATTAGATATCATTACATTGTATTGTTCAATGCCGTTAGAAAAAATTTGACATCATTTTTAGTGTCACCGTCAAAGTACATTTCACAAGTTAATTAAGTTTTTTCATCATTGTGAATACAGCGCCTCGATATATGCAGAAATTTATACGGATAGACGAAGTAAATACTTCCAATTTTTTTGACATCCGCCATAAATTGAAACAAAAATGACACGATAAAAAGCTTAAAATCGATATCAACAGTAATTTCTCATAAAGCATTGGTGCTTGACATATATACACTGTGAATGAAAATCTTTGCATGTGCATAATAAGTCATTGTAATTATTTGAATAAAATGAATGCTTAGTAGAATGTTTCGTTTATATGCTGAAATGTCTTGCTTCAAAGACTGTCAGACATCCAGAAGAAGTTTATCCTGAGACATAAATCATTATCATATGTTCCAGGGTAAATAACACTATGGTCAAAAAATTAAACTTTCATAATCTTAAGTTTTTTTATATACTCACATATTATTTCAGGTAACGGAAACCGAACTTGTTTACAACAACCTTGCACCAAATTATACAACACGTCTTAATCTGGAATATTGTTTTGAAGAGAAACAAATAATCACAACAGAAATGTAAGTGTAATTCTTTTTATGTTTACCTTACAATGAAAGTATAAAAATTAGCTTTATCGTTGTTAATCTATAACAGCGCAAGCTAAGCCTCCCTCTGAGGGGAACCCCTGTAGTGAGAATCAAGGAGCTGGGTATGGTGGAATCACTTGAAAGCGATGACAGAAGACAAAGTGCAGCGAAAATATTCCTTTTAGGCCCCATGTTCTACTCGGAAATCAAACAATGAATAATATATTTATAATACTGTGTGGCCCAAGGGGTCTGGTGGATAGTGCAGTATGCGTCGCTGGTGCAGAGGTAGAATGTTCACCAACCATGCAAATGGTCCGCGGTTCGATTCTTGATTGACACACTCTCGCTTTGCCGGTAGTAAGCCCTGTAAACGCGGAAGGTTGGGTATGAGGCTAGCAACTCCATGGCGTAAAAGTCAAACACCACTGCTACCGTGACTTGAAAGCTCAAGCTTAAAGCTCTGAAATTTCACTCTGAAAGCTAAGCAGTAAAGTGATAACAAAATCTATACAGTGAAACATGCGAAACGTTTCTATGCTGTATACTGTAGATATATCTTTTTTGCATATCAACATGTACCAAAAACAATATCCTATATATTCTAAAGTGACATTAGTCAAAATATATGAAACATGGGTGACGGAATAATCAGGTCACTTAATAGACAAGTAAAAATTATTTTAAAAAAAACAAATCTCAGCAATTTTAAAGTAAATAATTCCAACGTTACTTTCAGCTAACTAGTTCGAACTTTTTAATTTTAGGAAAATAAACAAAATTTAAGCATCAGAGGCACATATAAATGAGAGGTCATATATTGTATGTAGATTAATTGGCCAGCCTTTTCTAAATTATGAATAGTCATCAAAACAAAGTAAACAAAATTATTTTATGTAGACTCTGATCAAAATCTGACCGAGTCTTTCTTCAGAAAATTAAATCAATCCTGTAATCTGTCTATTTGTGTAATCTTCAAATAATGCTTAACGAATCTCTTGAATTTAAAGTAATGGTGGCGTAAAATGGAGTAACTGGATCTGTTCTCTTTCGAAATGTATACAGTAAAGAGAATTCTGTGTATGTTTGATGGATTGTCTAACATTTTCTCCCTTTTCTAAATGAAATCACATGTTATGAATATAGGCTGCAACTGTATGTTGCCAGTGTGTCAAATAAATTTATTGTTGTACACGTAAATAACTAAAGCTATTGGTTATATCCATGAAGTATATGTTGCTTTAGATGATGCCGGCAATCTAGGTAATTGTAATACGTTTCATACTAAAACATAAAAGAAATCACAAGAAATAAGAAGTTGTAGGTTTTCATGAGCTAACTGTAGGATAGTAGTTTGGAAAGTCATCTGTAGCCTATAAATTTTTCATTGCTTCCATGCACAAATGACAGTTTACACTAAGTGGTTTGTTTTAATAAACTTTATTGTAATTTAGCTATTTTAAGTGTATGCCAAAAGCTAATGAAGCATTGAAAAGTGATAAGAACTATGACTGTTTGTCGCTAGGTTTCCAGGTGGAACACAGGGCTTCAACAGCACACTTGCGTTTTACGCTGTTTCCTGTAAAAATTTCCTGTCAGCTTTCCTCTCCTCCTCACAAGATCTTGACCATGTCAACTTCGGACACCCAACTTGCAGTTTCTGACTAGCGTTCCACTCGAAGTCATGTCACTAAACTCTATCCTCACAGTTTGCCCGGTTCGACCCTACTTACATCAACGTATTTATTGGTTGTTCTTTGTTTCCTGTCTGTACTACAGCAAAGGCAGCTGCTGATAAAGTCTTCAGTAACCTGTTGTAAGTGATTTTTCGTGACACACCAAGTCTCTGTGCTATATAGAAGCATTGATTCGGCACTAGGGTTGAAAGTCAGGATCTTGTTCCCTATGCTGACTTCAACAGATTTCCACATAGATTTCAGAGTGATGAAGATCTACATTGCTTCCTCGATTTCTACTCTGACATTTTCATCTGAGGCGCCTGTAGTTGAAATGATGCTGCAAGGAAAAGTGAAGCAGGTGACTTCCTTTAGATTTCTCCTTTTGGCAGTGATAGCTGCTTGTTAGTACTGAGCAGATAACGACATCATATCTGTCTTCTCTAAGTTCACTTGAAGTCCTGTCTTTACTGCTTTTTCTGCCAACAATCTAGTTTTCGTCTTTAGATATTGGAGTCTGTATTAAATTAGGGCAAATAATCTTATGTCGTATCCTGAGCAAGAGACTATACGAGCGATGTTAGTGAATCCGTAAATGGATTAAGAATCAATTCATGAAATTATGATTTTCACTTCACAGAACTGTTTCACATTCAACAGAAACGACTCCGAGCCAGTCGTTTAGTGATCAACCTTTCAGATGAATAAATGGTAAAATTTCAAAGGATTCAATTGTTACAGGATATGTAGTCGTTGAACAAGAACTACAAACCGTGATAATGGTCTTTAATTAGAGGTCTAGAGTTAAATTTGTTGAATCCAAATATCTGAACTTATGAGCATAGCCCAAATTATAGCAACAATTTTGAATGACATGACTACCATACAGATCAAACTTAAAAAAAAAACATACTAAATCTTTTAACGTGTACGTTCTAGAGACAAAATTTGTTTGATTTTAGTCTGAACTCAAGAAACTGATCTCTACATTCTACTGTATAGCTGACAAAACTTCGTCGAGGCACGCACTATCACAAAACGTTCCAAACGCACGGAAATAACAATTGATCTCCAATATTTTTGCATGGTTATTATAAAGGAATTACATCAAATTCAAATTTACCTCAACAGTGCCTTGAGGCAGCTATACAAGCAATGTACCTTTCTAAATACAAAACAAGCACGGTAGAACAAAATTAGTCAGCCAAAGTTCAGCTGTAAAACGCACCTTTGAATCAAGGAGAATATTCGCAAAGAGGTGGAATCATAAGCTACATCCACAAGAGTAACACATCAAGTCTTTCCGGGTCATAATGAACTTCATTCACTCAAACAAACTCATATCGTTAAACAACACATTGTCAATGTACACACAGTCACAAAGTACTACAATTAAAGTTTTGACTAGGATAAAGGCAAATAATAAAGGTCGAAATCAACATGTGGTATGCAAATTTCGAATTAATGATACGTAGTGTAGGGGAAAAACGTATAACGTATAAATAGACTGTTCAGGAGGGATTTTCCAAACAATTTGTCCACTACATGCATTAATCAATCAGCCTATACATCACAATAATCTATGACAACAGATAAAAAATTGTATAAAAAAGTATGGGAAAACATCAATCAAAAATATGCAGTTTTTAGAGGCTTAGTACAGTTGGTCTTTCACAATGTTCCAGTATTTGTGATTTTCCATTTACTTAAATGATTTTTTGATAACAATCACAAAACGTTTTGGTATGATGAGTCACTTTTGTGTTTTAAATGTTAGAACGCACGACACGTGTTTGAATTCGGAAGTTATTTTGATGAAATCTACAGCGCGTAATGCTGTAACTGTTTGTATACGTTTGCAATTTAAAATGTTTTCATAGATGTTATTCTATGTTAAACTCTGGGTTATCAATACATCATATACGTGTTTAGCTGGATTGTGTTGTTTGCAACATACTAATTTCCGCATAATTCTCTGAAGATATACAGCATTCATTTCGAGTTTGGTAGATATTTTACAATTAATATGTATCCTGAAAGGTAAAAGACACAAATGAGTTACTTCTGTTTAATTATAAAAATGGAAAATAAATTTGATACTGGACGGAAAATTATTGTGTCCCTAGAGAATTTTTTATTCCTTTACGTTCCCAGTGGAACATAGGGATTCAGGCTAGAGACTTGAAGTTTCGGCAGCAGTGCTATTTATTTTTGCGGGATGGGGTTGCTAGCCTCATGCCCAACCTTCCCTCTTTACCAGTCTTATTACTGACTTAGTGAGGTAAAGAAGTGCGTCGGCCAAAGATCGAACCCCAAGCCAGTTGCGTGATTGGCAAGCATTTTACCGCTGTGTCACAGACGCACAGCAGTAGGGCATACTACACTGTAATCTAGAAAAGTTTGACTCGTGAACTCTACTAAAATGCCCAGTAACCTTAGTGCTTGTTAAATCCACTAATAAAACACTTGAATCGATATCCATGAAAACTGTGACCCACCTTATTAAGACATTCACACATTATATTGCTGAAGATATCTAGGAAGCAGAAATTCCGAAAAATGTGGATAAAAGTCCAAGTTTGGATAGAATATATGGAAAACACAACTTTTCCATCACTACTGGATTAAAAAAATCCATCGAATTAAACCTAGACTGATAGGAATTATCTATGCTTATCCTATATTTGCCTAAATATGCTTAATAACTACACTCAGTCCGCATTTCATCATGTACCTAACCACTAAACCTTTATCTGCAGTTGAGTATGAATTTAAAACAAGAGTTAACTTATATTCAAGTGTTGGTTTGTAGGGATTTGATTGTTTACAGGATTTCATCAGGAGCTGACATTAATTAGAGAACCATTGGAAAACCAACACGGAGTACCGGACAGCTGTTTCTTCAGCAATACACACCCACCGGGATTCGAACCCAGGACCTTCTGGTTACAAGGCGAGCTCGTATACAATTAAGCCACTGGGACCTGATCCAATGGCCCATGAATTCTAACTTCTGCCAATTCACGACATAGCGCGACCCCTAGCCAATGTCTTCGGCGTGTATTTATCCTCACACCCGACCTGCTGCACCCTACTGGTCACGTTAACTTTTACCTAAATACATCTGATTGATAAGATAATATTCCTTCACTTGTAAGTGTAAAATAATAATTACTATTGTCATTATAGGAAAGGTGACGATAATAATATCTGGCGGCTGAAAATAAACTAAATTAAACTTATCTGAGCCTCTAACGTGTTGCGGAATGTAAAGCAGCACAGTTTCACTCCTATTTACAAAATATGTCAGCTATGCTTAAAAATGAATCATCGAGCTTCAATGATAACAATGTACAGCTGAGTAATTATCGGATAAGCAAAACATTATTGCTGTTATCATTATTATTATTATTGCAAAGTAAGATATACAAAAACGTTTTTCTTCCAAAGTTTTCGCAAGAAAGAAGTAGGTATGCCTTCATAACGCAGAAAATCTGTAAATGTTTCTCAGCGTTGTTTCATGAAAACAAACAATCTGAGGAATATATATTTACACATATATAAATAAATCAAACTAGAATACGAATAACAAAAAACAAAAGCTGCAGCAGCAACAACAACAAAAACATAATCGACATTTTTACAATCAAACAAAAAAAAAAGAATATTTATTTCCGCATAATACACATCACTTCCTGTTGAATAATTAATTTACCAATAATTAAAAACTAACTCTGTGGTAAAATTCCCAAAAGAATAAATGATTTCAACCCTTAAAGATGAAAGTTTTCTATAAGTTGTTTTTGTTGTTATTGTTATTATTATATTGTTGAATAATTAAAACAGACTTTTCAAACAGATTTCCAAGTGATTGTTATTATTTCTGATTTATATAATGGGTAGTAGTCATTAGGCAGCAAAATAGAAAAGTTTATATGGTACCGGTTGTGCTGTTGATACGTTACACTATAATAGTCTTACTGAACGCAATGCGCCCAGTTACCTACCCTAATGAGTACACTATATGACCTACAAGTATTGATTACAGTTAATTAGAAATAGCTTCTCATTAGCAATATGCCTGAGTAGAGTAAAATATTAAGGTTATTTGCGGCTTTAAAGATATGTATGTTACTGGCAAAAAGAAGAGGCACAGAAATAGCTTTAAAGCTCATTTAAAGATGCATAAAATGGTTTCCCTTATGTTTCACTTGGTTATAATTCATACTGCAAAGTAGTTCTATAAATAACTATAGTTTCTGTTGTAATTTGCCTTTCATTTTTGAGGAAATATATCTTGAATTCAAAAGCCTGAGGTGCATAATACTTGTATTGATAAATAACTTTTCTGTCTTCTCAGTGGAAGACAGTGTCAGTAATCAACATTTCCGTGATTAGAAAGCGCTCGGCCAATACATTAATCGGTACGCCAAGTGATATCAGTTCAGATTTTTCGTCCGAAAGACTAATCTCTTATACTGCAGTAGCATTACAAATTTGGAGAAACATCAACAGGATTTCTGATTGTAGATTTCAGTGGAAACCGATGTCAACCAGGGAATTACTGGAAACCAGGAAGTACTGAATATGTGTTTCATCATAGTTAGTCACTCTACATCGGTGCTCACCTATGACACTACCAGGGACCAAACGCAGGGTTTCTGCGTTGCCAGCTCGGGCCTTCGGGTTGGAGTTCAGTGATCCGTGAATTCTCACTTTTGTCAATTAGTGACATACTACCATTAAAATAAATCTTAAAATTAATAAAGTATCCACAGGCGAGCTAAACGGCTATTTATTTTATCCCTGAATATATCTTTGTGCTTTGAAAGGTTAGCTTGAGTTTATGAATTGATATCGAAAATTTCAACAAACACATAACTTCATTCAGCAAGAACTCTATGTCAAAATAAATATCTTATGTGCACACAAATTCAACTTTGGATATTTTTTTTATTCCTTCACGTTCTCAGTGGAACATAGGGCTTCAAGCGAGTGGCTTGAAGTTTCTGTAGCAGTGTTTATTTTTATAGGATGAGGTTGCTAGCCTCATGCCCAACCTTTTTTCTTTACCAGCATTTTTGCTATGCCACCGACGCACAACTTTGGATACGATATGGGTTTATTATTTAATAACTCTGACACTGTTCCTTACTGAAGATTACGATTAAAGTAGTATTTTAGCTGTTTAGGAAGAACTGTTGACTTACTGGTCATGGAACTGATATGTTTCTGTACTCTTAACTGCCTGTGTAAGAAAGACAATAATGTCACTTCAGTCACCAAAGTAAGTTAAAATGTGCTTAGTCCTTATCGTCTGACATAAATAAATTCGCTTTGTTTTGAATTCATTAAACTGGCTGATCCCTGTTAATAACATATATGATTTTGTTAACGTGGTCCTCAGAAATGTATGGAATATCATTCCCTAAGTTAATTGTTTCGAAAACGGGAAATATTAACGTATAAGTTCAGATGATACTTTGTGCAAAAAAGATGGCTTTTGATGCAGAACGCTTTAACAGTCTATTCAAGCTCCACTAAATAGCTCATAATTCCCTGTAATATACATTCCCATAGCACACGTATCCTAAACTAAATCAATGACGTCAGATCGTCTCAGCTGTTGACCACAATTAAACAAACAGCATATTTAACCAGGGAACCGGGTAAACTGAAAATTGTTTCATTTAAATTTCTACGGTTAAAGTATCAACTATTTCAAAATACTTAGGCTGTTTCACTGGTTGTAACTATTTGCTCGCTTAAAATAATTTATTCAGTCATGAAAAATTTGTTTCATTGAACAGCGAATAACCCGCCATTTAAAAGCCTAAAAAGGTCTTGTGACATGTTATTTTTACATTTTATCTAAAACTCTGTCAAAAGTGAACATCTCACTTGACAAGTTTCTCAAAATTGCGATAGGTGCTTGCCGTACAAACTAAAAATGTTAATTTTTCTTGAATTTATTGTAATATAAATTGTTGTTAAATATTACTTAAAATTACAGAATACAAATCCAGTGACTTAATATTATGTTAAATGAAACATGGAAGGTTTCTTTTAGATGTGGTGGAGAAAATTTGTAGCTCAGGTGGATGATTTTTATGTGGTTGTGTCCTCTGAGCTGGATGGTTTATTTGCGAAGCTTTCATTGCCCTAATAGGAAACATCTTTAGCACATACTTCAATTTGAAGTGAGCTTTTAGATTTCTTCGCGAGTTTACTAGTCATCTCTCCTGGTGGGTGGACTTGAAGGTAATTGGTTGTTTTTGTGTGTTTTCACACCCTCTGGACTACGTTTATCTGTAGTAGTGCTGATTGTTTCCTTTACTTGAACTCTGACTCTTTGTGTATGTGAGATTTCCTTCTTATCGATTGGTAAATTTTGCCTATCCCGACGTGTCTATTGATTGACGATTCACTGGAATACCGAGGAGCCTTCTAAAAATTCTCTAGCATTCTTGTTGTTTCCTCTGTCTAACATTTGAACGTTGTCCCAGTCGAATTGATGTCCATGGCTGTGTATATGTAGTGATATTAGACAGTGGATGTCATGTCCTTTGACGGCTAGCTTATGTTCATGGATATAAAGAAGAAGGAGACGTCCACTTTGGCCAATGTATTGTTTTTCACAGTCGTTACAATTTATTTTGTAGATGATGTTTTATATCTTCTTTCATTGTTTCTTTTGTAGAATATATTAATTGCATAAAATTATGCTCATATTCTTCAGCATTGCTCAATATCAATAAAACTCAGTCCTAATTAACTAAAGTCATGTTTTAGATAGGTAGAGGATAACAGTAAAGTCAGCAAGCCACTTTTTGTCTTATTCAGGACATGACAGCTAAATGTACCTGCATACTCAGTGAGTCATAGTGTTCCTAATGAAACTAGAACTTATCACTTATCCTCTCAGATACCAAGATGTTATGCATCAGACCACGCGACCAAAACAAGTTTGTCTTCTGGGAGTGGTTTCAGTTATTATTTGATGAAATCATTGTTCGTAAGTCCCTCATTGATTCATTTTATTGAAAGAGAATGTTATATATTGGGAACAATGGGTTCTGGGTTCCGGCTAAGTGAGAGCACCATACCTCACTGAGTATGTCAGCACGGGATGAAACAGTAGTTGCTAATTCCCACTATGGTCATTACGAATTGAATAGCATCACTTTTACCTTTTAATAACGTGGGATCATCTGTCAGAGTAGTTGACAAGTGGACAGAGACTGGGCCTTTCCGTCGAATGACAACAATCTGTGGAAACCTCAACATTTACAATTACATCAAATAACAATTTTTCCATCCAAGTAGTAGAAGAACAACAAAAGTAATTACTCTGTAAACTGATGGTTTCACTCAGGCTAATTTGAAATAATTATCATAGTAAATATGTCACGGAAACAAACCTGTGTGATTTATAACCATCCACAAATCACTTAGAGTTTACAATGAAAATTAAGACAAATTCTCCCGTTTGTCACTCATTACATTAGTATTACACTGCCAACCTTATGATATAACAGATACTCTCACCAACAATTCATGAAATTATCTTCCAGTTGATTACATTCGAGAAAATTATACAACCATAAAGACGATGTAATTACTCAAACTGCTATACACAGTGTCAGTAACTAACAATTCATTTTATCTACGCCTCATAAATCACACCTCTTTCTGGCCTCATTCATCTGCTTTCCATTCTCCTGTTTTATTCTTTTTTTTCTAGATTCGAATGTGAACGTGAAGATCGTGAGGTAAGAGAAACAACTTTTTGCGTTTTGATTAATGTTTCCTATAACAGTCTCGTTTTTCTTTACATTAGGCATTTTTATGAAACAATATATTTTTTTGAGCGTGAAACTGAGTACACTGCCTAAACTAGTTTTAGGATAATTTGTCGTCCACCAACAAGTTACCATGCAGTCTCATCTATTTACGTGAAAACACTTATTTTTAGAGTACATAAATTAGATTTCCACAGAGAAAAACTTGAATACATTTCATAAATCATGCATACAGATTCAATTTATTCTTTTTTTACGTACAAACTAGGCTCCTAAAATACAATATGAAACTAAACAACTGTCCACTGTATAACAATATTTTTAGAAGAATAATTTGGTAAAGTAGATACTTCGACAAAAGTGCTAGTAGTGATTTTGAAATTTTAACACTCCCAATGCGACAATTAGCACCAGACTATTTTTGCTTAACTTCTAAATACACAGTGTTACTTTGTTTGATGAAGTATTTAAGTATTTAAGACGACTGGCAGTCTGAAAAATTATCCATTTACACAAAAACTTTCACTTTCTTAGTTTACATTTTAAGAATACTATTCTGAAATATCTCTTGCACGACTAGGCCTCCTCGAAAATTGTCAGAACTACCTTGCATAGTATTCCATACTTATTAAGTGGTGACTTAAGTGACTTTATTTAAGTTTGGTATGCAAGCAAGATCAGCGGAGATCAAGCGATCAAGTTTATCTTGGCCCCTAAAATATATGTGGAGAGATGAAACCCACTCACCTAATGTAAACACACGACAAATGGGGTAACAGTTAAATGCAGTCTGAAAAGAGGACAAATTTATCGATGTCACATTTTCGATTATTATTATTCAATGTCATCATAATGGTCACGTCCCGGACTGTTCACACGACTGAATACCTCGCTTATTCCCCATTCTGAATTTTAAGTCCATTTAAAGATTCAAAACTATTTCATATTTAATAATTAGTTTATTCATTGTAGGCCTAAACACTGGAGAAATTTTATCTAATAAGTAAAATTATTAAGTTAGTAAAGAAAAAATTGAAAAGATGGCAAAAAGTAATTTTCAGCACGTTGCTTGGTAACCATTTTGTTTATAACTTAATAATTAGTCTTTTTTGACTTCTGATTTAATACTTACACTCTGGATTCCGTTATACATCCTCTAAAAACGTACACTTAATAAGTTTTACTGTACTAGAATGCATTATATTTATGATGCATTGGACTTCGATAAAATCCTGAAATAGTTTCCGTGGTTATACTTCTGTATTCAGTCATACATATATCCTGTTATACAACTTTAGAGATATTACAGATGAATGTTACACTGTCAAAGATGTCTGCGCTGTGGTAACAGAAATACAGTCTATCTGGGAATTAATTAAATGTTTTACCCACTGTCATTTCAAGGCATATCTTACTTCCTTTGTTGGCAAATTATAATAGTCTTAATTCAAAACGGTTTGTACACGACCGAAAAATAATACAACCCTTCTAATTATCTCATAATTGTCTCATTAAATTCACATTTTTTTATTTACTAAACACACAAGTTTTACATTGGCGGAGATACTAAGATTTAGTCAAAAGCCTGTATAAAGTTAGCTGAAGGGAGAGAAAATGGACATCTATCTACGCTGTAATTTCACATGGAGGATAAAGACAAATATTCTCCCTGCTACACTGATTATTCTGTATGATGTAACGTATAAGAATGTTTTAAAATTACTGATTTAGAGGAGTTACATAAGTCTCCATAGCCTATTTAGCAATTTTTATTTAAGGTAAGGTAATCTATTTCTTAGCTGTCTGGAATAACCCTTAGTATTTTCCACCAAGTTCGAAAACAGATGTTAACAAACAATCAAGTGACAAAACTTTACGTTCAAAGAATAGCAAACTAGTTCTGCCTATGATGTATTAGTTCTTTAGTTTCTGAAATAATACTTCAACAACTATCAAGCGACCTTTCTTTGCTTTTTAGTGTGTTGTAAACAGATACTGTCTTCTAAACAATAAACATTCACCTTCGCGTAACACATGCTTTGAGTAGTAATGAATAATGAGAAGTAAGAGGTCAAAATAGAGGAATAAAAACTCTCAGAACACTTACATTAGTCCATTCACAGGTGATGTAGTAAAAGAAAAATTGAATATCCTAAGCTCTACTTTAAGCATTGTACTACTACAGTAATACAGTACCTGAACTGTAGAAATGGAATAATTTACAATGTAGTTGTGAATATTTGCAATTAGCCAGGTAGAATATCGTGACCTGAAGGCTAAAAGTAGTCATCATATGGGTTTACTGTGAAAATTCATAGTAAAGTACTATAAACTGAAACATGGAATGTTCTAAGCTTACGCATATGTTTTGAAATGATCAGTAGCGTTCAGTACAAACTTTTCTCATTCATAGTATTGACATATGTCGTTCTCCGAAGAGTCTCATTATATCCATTTTATATTTAGATTGGTCTGATGTGTTTGTTCCTAGCAGACAGTAATATCTATATCACTTGTTCTTTATATTTGGAACTCGTCAACTCAGCTAGCATGTAAACACAAATAATCTAAATGGAAATCGTTGAACAGGAAGTGGCTGTTTTAACTACCTTAGAGAGTTCAGGCATTGATAGATCCTGATTTAGATTCTCAGTGAGAACACCATCCCTTTCTGGGATGCTAACAGATCCTGCTAAAGTCTTCAAATGGAACGGAACGCCGCTATCTTTCCAATTAAAAAAACATTGATGTCGCAAATTACAAGAAATAGTAGGGTTTTTATATTATGCTTTGATTAACAAGAACCAACTTTCATCCGATTAAGTCACTAAGCAAAACAATTTACCCCCGTTGAATTATTTAAAGACGCTTCATATGGTGTCAGTCACGTATCCAATAATTGAGACAGTGAAATAAATTTTTTTGATTATAGCTTGAAACCAAACGGTGTTTTTGGTACAAGTATGGAATTTTCAGCATGTGATATTGGTAGCCCGAATGTTGCGGGCCAACCATTGATATCAGGTGTCCGTCGGCAGGGGATCGAACCCCAGACCATGTGTATGGTCAACGAGCGTCCCAACCGCTGTGCCACTGTCTCAAGTATTATCAAGTATCTGTGGTTACAAATGTAAAAAGGTTGGATAAACTCTGACAGAAATACTCACTCTACTTGTCTGTTTTACACCATTTGCGAAAAATAAAAACGAAGCATATTTCATCACATTTAAGTCATCAGAGCATTGTAGAAAAAAAAGCCGAATTACAATGACAAATCAATGAAAATTATATTACAAAGGATAATCCAATTATAAAAGAAGACTCGCTTTCTGTTCGTAAGACATTCCGCCTACTTGTGTTATTTGATGCTCTAAACAATTAAGGAATGATATGAAAAGCATTAAATATGTCACATCTAATTTATAATAATAGGAGTGCAGTAGTCTTTTATGCTATTTAATCATTGTATTTCAATAATATCTTCAATTCTACTTACGAAAAGGAACTGAAAAAAGTGTCAATTTCAATGAAATAAAAATATCTTTCAGAGAATATTAATTTAGATTCTTTCATTGTACGTTTTTGCTAAAAATGAACACAATTATACTCTATTTAATTATTTAAATGTAGTGCAGATATTCGATGCCTTTACTTTTAATATCATTTGTTTGTGCTACATTGCTGATTAAGTTATTATTTAGAATGAATAATTACAAACTTCACAGTTAGCTGACATCAGTTAGAGAACCGTTGGAAAGCCTGCAGGGAGTACTGGACAGCTGTTTCGTACTAGTGTGAAACTTTTAATCAGTACGCCTCCACCGCCAGTTTACGAACCAAGCACATTCTTGTTACAAGGCTAAGGAGCTCAAATACCATTCAGCCACTGGGACCCGATTCAATGGCCCATGAATTCTAACTTCTACCAATTCGTGATTTAGCGCGACCCCAACCATTGTCGTCGGTGGAACATCCATCCTCACACGTGACATCTGGATGGACCTCACTGATCGCAACTTCTCACCAGAACGCCAGGAAACTCCATCCTGTAGCAAGTCACTAGAGAGCATCAGATTAATTTTCTACAGTTTAGTATACGAGCTTGCCTTGTAACTGGAAGGTCCTGTGTTCGAACCCCAGTGGGTGCGTACTGCCGATGATTTCCAAAGTAGGATGAAACAGCAGCTGTCCAGTACTCCCTGGTTTTCAATGGATATTAGTAATGCTGAAAGAGAAAATCAACTACTTCTCTAAAATCCACGTGATATTTTTCCTTCCATTTCTTGTTTACTTTTCAAGTGGATATTGGTTTTCGATACAGTAGCAAAACCTACAGAATACAGATAAATAACATAAATAAACACTAAACCCGATCATTCAATATTCAATCGCTGTCATACATACTTCAAGCTATTTAAGAAGGTGTATAACTCTCAATGAAAATTATATAATGCTAAATAAATATATATATCTTTCTTAAGTAGGTACGTCCGTTGTGAATTCCTTTCATTCTTTATGCCAATTAAAAATTCCTGTATCTTCAAAACATGCTTTGTTTCCAATCTCAGTACACGTGCACACACGCATACAGATGGATTAAGAGAATCTTTAAAGTTGAATTACCTCACAAACAAATATGCAATGGCACTTCTTTTTCTTTTCCTTTTTTGTTCTATTTTATTTTGACTCGCACAGTTTCCTGCAAAAAAATATGTTTTCACACCTTTCAGGTGATTCAACGGAAATCAGATTCATTGCTTTCCTTTTATTTTGACATATTTATGGGGGAGAGAGAAAGTAATTGTACATTGTTTTGCTTTCTTTTTGTATTCAGGGATTACTTCAGGTTATATTTAGAATGAGAAGAATGAATTATTCTTAGTTTATAGACTCGTTAAAAATTTATTATCATCAAATTTATGCTCAGTACCTACAATCATACACAGTGATGTTCAGAAATCCAACTATGAATATGCCTAGCTGTACGTCTACTAGAGCTAGTTCCACATGAATACTCAGAAAGGTAGATACACACATAAAGAAGGTAACTTTTTTATAACCCTGGAATGCAAAATTGGAGTGTCTGTGGAGAGATAGTCTAATCCTGCTGCACTGAATCGTTTAGGCTTCGTATTATTACTTCACTGAGGTTAACGCCAAGCAAGCGCTGCTCTGAGAACAAGGGTGTGATAAAAATATGAATTAATCACGAAGATAAATTAGTATTTCAACATTTTCAAGGCATATATTTCCAAGCTATTAGCATTAAATGGCGAAACGTCAGTAAAAACAATACCATTTTGTTTCTCATTCATTGGGAAATACAAAAAACCTTTATTATAATGAGTTTCAAGGCAAATCATTTGTAGGCTGCAGATTAAGGCATATTCGACGACTTATTTTAGGACATCATGCTTCATGGTTTAGTGAGAGACAAATAAAGTCTATTCGTGACTTCTTTTTAGCATATCTTCCAGAAACTAAGCATAAAATTAGTACTAACAATGTATTTACAGTTACCTGTAGTATATTGACTAGCTTTAATTTTAATCGAGTTCGTCTTTATGAAAAATTTGGCAAGTAGTTTTTTCAAACTGGTTCAAATATTCATGAAACCGAAAACTAAAAATAAATCACCTTATACAAATAATATAATTAATTTAACATTATCACTGTTCCCACTTATAGTGTGTCTCTGTACCTGTACATCAAATTAAAAATTTATTCAAGTAGTGGTTTGTAGGGATTTGATTGATTGGTTACAGGATTCCATTATGAACTGACATCGGTTAGAGGACAATTAGAAAACCCGGGAGTACCGGACAGTTGTTTCGTCCTGGTTTGGGACTCTTCATCAGTATGCACCCACCACCAGGGTTCGAACTCAGGACATTCTGCTTAAAAGGCTAGCAAGTTGGTAACCCATTAGGCCACTGAGACGTGATCAAATGGCTAGTCCATGAATTCCAACTTCTACCAATTCACGACATAGTGCCACCGCTAGCCAATGTCTTCGTCTAGTAAATGAAATATCCCCATATTGAAATCAAAACAAGATTTTGAGCGAACAATTGTTTTCGATAACTTCTTCTTCAGGCTCTACAGTTATAAATCCATGAATAATAGGGTACATATAGCGAATAAAGGCAAATGAAAATAATATCAGAAACTGTATTGGGGTGCATGTGTAAGTTGAGATGATAGTTCATTAGTTAACATAATCAATCAAATGTGTATAGGGTGTATAGTCAGAGAAAATGTGATGAAGTGTGAATGAACAATTGGGTGATATAGTGCTGTTTTATAGTCAACAGAATACAAGTGTCATTGGGGTGAGAGAAATGCGATAGACACAGAATACACGCAAACACACATTAACAAAGGGGACGCTGAATGTGAGGGCTGACCGATAATGTCTAATGATAAAATAAGGGGCCAAATAGTAAATTGTAATAAGATGTTACAGGGTTGGTAGGCTTAGTGTAAAATCAAAAAGGTTGACAAAATTAAGGGTAACAATGAGGTGAAATAAACTGGGTGGAGAAATGGATAATAAAGGCATGATATCACAGAATGATAATAATGGTAATAATAATACGGAAAATTATGATCCTGGTGACCTTATAGTGGGCCAGGGTAGACAGAGGGAGTGAATAAGTTTTTTCTGTACACATAAGTCTGGTCTTTCTCTATTAATTTCTAAAGCCTCAGCTATGGCTAGGAGGCGTAATCGTATGCCTTTGGGGAGATTGTTTGGTACTCGATACACAACTGTAAATGACTCTTCTACTTTGATGCTGTGTTCGCTATCCACTGGATGGGCCAGAATTGCACTATTTAATGATTTGGTCGCTCTTTTCCCAAGCCAGACCGGGATATGTTCACGAGTGCGTAAAGGTAAACTCCTTTGGGTACGACCTATATAACTAGCTCCACAGGAGCAGTTGAATTTATATACACACATTGATGTCGTCAAGCCTATAGCTTGATGCCCTATATTACACGTAAAGGAACGTAAAGGAACAAAAATGTAAGTCTCATTGATGATAATTTTAACGAAAGCCTTACTTTGAACAGCACGTTCACGCAAAATTCAGAGTTCCTAGCACTAATAATTAGATAGTATTTACTCTCTGTACAAAATCTTCAAGGAAAATTGTAGTTCACAGTATATCACATCATGTAGTGCTATTCAACTCGAATAAAGATCCAGTGTCTTAGGAAAGTTTCATCATTTCCCTCCAAAAGTCCTCATGAGTAGGACATAAAGGGGTAATTAAAACAGTAAGCAATGGAGTAAATTTAATTTGTTTTACCAGATGGATATTTAGGTGACCCAGTGATTTAACCAGACCGTTGAAAATATTGAGTGACAAACTTTGACTAAATGGTAAAAAATTACGGTGCTATATAGAAATTCCAGCTTGGATGTCGTAATTATTGCAAGTCTTAACTCGGAAGTTTAAAGTCAAGCTAAAACATCCAAAGACCATTGAGGTTAATCATAATATTTCATAGGTTTTATTACTCAAAGACAAGTAACCAAGCTGGAAAACAATTTCTAAGAATGGACTATTATCTCGCATGTCACTCTACCTATATAGATACCTTGTCCTTTATGAAAAGTTTTCCAGTGGAGCATTTTATTGATTTCGACGACAGTAAGCTTACAATATCTTATTTTTTTATTCCTTCACGTTCCCAGTGGAACACAGGGCTTCAAGCTAGTGGCCTGAAGTTTCTGTAGCAGTGTTTATTTTACAGGATGGGGTTGCTGGCCTCATGCTCAACCTCTCCTCTTCACCAGCTTTTAGTTCTGGCTTAGCGAGGTAAAGGAGTACGCCGGCTGGGAATCGAACCCCGGACCATGTGCATGGTCGGCGAGCGTCCTTACCGCTATGCCACCGTTGTATATCTTATATTACACACTCTCTTTACTTGAAACAGCTGTCAAACAGATAAGGTCTTGAAATGCGCAGGATAAAGAGCCCTGAAAGCAGTATGATTACAGACTGGTTGATTATGATAAACGTCTTCTGGTATAACTTTATTAAAGACAATGCATCCCGGCTTCATTTAAGGCATATTTTTAAATTTTTCTTTCGACACCAGTATCTAATGATCTACTTATTATATCCAATGCCATTTTATTTTTATTTATTTCAGGATTCAATCCTACTTGGTTATATTCAATGCACCGTAGGCAGAGTAATTCACAGTGGTGGTGAACTAGTACTCCCAATAATGTAAGCTGCAAATATGTTTTTTGATTTTTTTCTTTTTAATTTTGATTCCAAAACCAAAGCTGTACACCGCATACATTTTACTTTATATCAATGAACCATATGTGTTGTAACTGAACTCTGTGTGACTACAAATGGTTCGCTTTTTCAATTCATTACTCTAGAAACAAACTGTTCAAATCTCTTCTTAAACAGTACATGCCGGTAGTTGTTATCACTAATTCCTTTCACTTAGTAACTGAAGTTTTCACCCAGACAAAGACCATTATTGGGCTCTTTATCGGTGAACACGAATCTAGCTGTTGACGAAAAGTAATGCCGATTAAGTTGTTTACTTATACAGTATAAAACAACTCAACGAGAGGTAATCATATATTTGTTTGGAGGATTTCATCATGAGCTGACATCAGCTAGAGGACAATTGGAACACCTGTAGGGAGTAATGGACAGATGTTTCATCCTAGTATGGGACCCTTCAGCAGTACCCACCCACCATGAGGGTTCGAACCGAGGACCTTCTGATTACAAGGCGAGCTTATAGGCCATTAAGCCAATGGGACCCGATCCAATGGCCCATGAATTCTCACTTCTGTTCAAGCTATGTCATGATTTGGCAGAAGTTAGAATTCATGGGCCATTGGATCGGGTCCCATTGGCTCAATGGTCTATAAGCTCGCCTTGTAATCAGAAGGTCCTAGGTTCGAACCCTCATGGTGGGTGGGTACTACTGAAGAGTCCCAAGCTAGGACGAAATAGCTGTCCATTACTCCCTACAGGTGTTCCAATTGTCCTCTAGCTGATGTCAGCTCATGATGAAATCCTCCAGTAAATCAAACAAAATCCCTACGAAACCAATATTTGAAAATTAATCTTATATTTATTGTCATCACTTCAGTTTCTTACTCATATGCATCACAAAGTACTGTTAACTTGGATGATATTAATTTAACTTGTTGTCATTTGATGCGGTTATATTTACATTGTGTTAAGTATAAAAACTATAAATTAATAAGGCTGTCTGCACTAAGAGCTATATAAATATTCCAAGCATATAAAGGCATTATTCACTTCATATAGTATTGTACATAAAACAAAAATATTTCTTCGTGGCTGAAATGGGTTGACTTTCGGACAAATATAACAGTTATCAATCGTGAAGTTTTAAAAAAATAAGTTTACTAACCTTTTAAAATTCTTTCAAATATACATTTAACAGTCTACTTCAGTTGAGCACTAGATTAACGTTCAATTCATCTCTGTAGTTCTTTCGTTAAACAGGAAGCAAATATATGTGTCAACATCTGTCGTACTCACTACTTCTTTAATCGTTGTATGATAAACCTTGATAATGGATTTCCTCATACACCTATGTAAATTACGTGATTACGTGACTTGTATTGTCTAAGGTGAAATATCATTCCGCATGAAAGGAAACAGAAATAAATTTCAATATCAATAAAATAAACATTTGTAATTGGCATAGTGGGTCATATATTTCAAATCTGAAAGTCCTTGTACACCATTATTTGAGGAAATGATATCTTACTTAGCACATAGGAAAACACATAGAAACTGATCAATCAGTTGAATGGTATGACTGCGAAAAACAACTTGAAGTCGGCTTTCAGTTAGACAGCGGTTTAGACGACGACTTTGGGAAAATTTAAAACCAGATGGAAAATGTGTTCACGATTAATATTTGGTTTGAGGCTGACCTTCATGAAAGATATCAAGTCCCACACAAACAGGTTATATATAATGTATATATACATGTATGATGCTTAGGAATTATAACTGAAAATAGTCATGTAGTAAATAAGGATAAAAATGAGGTTTTCAGTGGTAAAATTATCACTAAATTTCCGCTAAGCCAATGAAGGTACATTCGTGTCATATATTGTGTTGCGATTAGGGAATGAAATTATCGAAACACTCCTTGACCACATTTGGTTGGTCTCAGGTTAGATCAGGAAGATATAAGTAACAAAACCGTGGGAAATCTTAAAGTTTCAGATAGCCATTTCGTCTTCAGAAGGACGCATATATGATGCCACTTAGCATCGAGTTCAGTACCTCCGGGTTACCAGGTGAGCGTACCGATTACTTGGCTACTGGTATGGAATTCAGTTCCCCATAAATTCTAATTCCTACTAGTTTGTGATAATCTAGAGCCACCTCCAGAAATAAAATGAAAGGTATAAGGACAAGTGTCCAATCCATCTCCACTTTCTCCTGAATATTTGTTGGGCGATTGGTTCTTGTTTTGTTTGTTCCCATAGTTTCTTGTTGGTGATTCTTTCCGGCCATCTGATCTTCAGTATGGAGCGAAGACAGCTGTTGATAAAAGTCTGCAACAGGCTGTTGGAAATATTCTTTGTGACCCGCCAAGTTTCTGATCCGTATAACAAAACTGACTTGACGTTTGTATTGAAAATCCGAATTTTGTTGTTGATGCTGAATGACGAAGACTTCCAGATTGGTTTCAGGTTGACGTATGTGTTTCTCACCTTCCCGATTCTCAATTTGGGAGTAACAGCCAGTAATCTTCGAGGCCTTCACAAGATGACTTGACACGCCAACAGACAATTAGCATTCCCGTCCAATAAAATAAAAAAAGGATCTTAGCAACTAAAATAATTCTCATCTTATCACTTTTCTAATTTTTATCTACCTGTAGATATCTACTCTTTAGCTTTTCTTTTCTCCGTTTTACCTTGACCTTTCTTTGCCTGAAAAAAAATGATTATAAACTGTCCATAAAGTGATATTGATTAGCATTATGTCCATTTATCTTTTCCTATTTGTGTATATATATGCAGATAATATTTCAAGAGATTCAAAAGGCTTCTTCAATAAACTCCACTTTCCTTTATCCCTAAATATAATAATAATAATAATGAAATATGTTTCAGTATATCAGATTAACTAAAGGTCATAAGAAAGTGAAGAAATCTTTTCCACACATTTATCCTTATATCCTCATATTTCCTCCGTAATCAGTTAAATTCATGATCATTCCTAATGTGATTATTCTCCTTCATTTTCTAATGGATATGTTTATATATATATATATATATATATATATATATATTGTGAACTGTGATTATTTCAGGTGAGGTTTTCTTTATCATTTGTTTCTTTTTAAGGAAATTAATTTTCTCTTTGAGCTTTTTGAACTCTTAATAGTGTTTTCATTCTCAGCTTACTCTTGCCCATCTTCCTTTTATTTTTATTTTCATACTTATTTTATGATTTAATGTTTCTTGTTCGTTTCAAATCCAAATATGTACGCAACGAATAGGTGAGATATGTTCAAGAGAAACTGAAAGTATATGGACACCCTAGGGGTAGTGTTTATTATTATGATTTATATGAAGTTTGAAAAGGAATCATGTATTGATGATGAGAAGCGTTATCAATAGGTCTTTAAAATATGCTCCCAATAAATATCTTCACAATAAAGTACAAAAAGAATTAAAATTGTATTTAGTTCAACATGTGAAGATTTGTCAACGTTACTCAAGCTAACAGTGTGCCAATATTACTCCTATTCATTTGAAAAGACAATCAAATTTTCCTGGTGACTAAAACAGTAAGTGAATCGTGCATTATTCTTATTATTATTGTTCCCTTGGGTTCCCAGTGGAACATAGGGCTTCAACTGCACGTCTACACTTGTTTCTGTCTTCTGCCGTACTTTTCACCTGCATCCATGTTAGTCCATGCTGTTTCAACTCCTCTTCACACGATCTCCTCCATATCACCCTTGGACGTTCCACTCGACGCTTCCCTTTCGGGTTCCACTCGAGCACTGGTCTGACGCGCGATATCACCCAGCGGCCTTCTCAGCGAGTGTCCAATCCATCTCCACTTTCTCCGACATATTTGTTGAGCGATTGGTTCTTGTGTTGTTTGTTCCCATAGTTCCTTGTTGGTGATTCTTTCCGGCCATCTGATCTTCAGTATAGAACGAAGACAGTTGTTGATAAAAGTCTGCAACAGGCTGTTGGAAATATTCTTTGTGACCCACTGGCCAAGTTTCTAATCCGTATAGAAGAACTGACTGACTTGACGTTTGTATTGAAAATACGAATTTTGTTGTTGGTGCTGTGACGAAGATTTCTAGATTGGTTTCAGCTTGATGAATGTGTTTCTCGCCTTCCCGATTCTCGATTTGACATCCTCGTCCGTTCCTCCTGTAGTTGAGACAATGCTCCCTAGATAAGTAAGTGAAAGAAGTAACCTCTTTCAAATCCCTCCTGATGATGGTGATTGGCGCTGGATGTTGCTGCTGTTGTTGTTGTTGGTCGGTTATTTTCATAACCTCCGTCTTGTCTATGTTCACCTGGAGTCCTGTCTTTGCTGCCAGCCTCTTCGACCAGTTTGTCGGTTTTCACTCGTAAGTCTTCTATTTTGTGTGACTTCAAACAGAAATCATCCACACGCGAAATCCAGGTCTCCTGGGTTCTTCACGTCGGTCCAGGATTTCCCTGTCTTCTCGTTTCCCACTGTCTGACGCATAATCCAGTCCACCACAATTAGGAATATCATTGGTGATAATAAGCACCCTTATCTGACTCCTGTGTTTACTCCAAACGCCTCGCTGAGTTTTCCGTTGTGGATCACTTGACATGTTCCGTTGTCGTACAGCTGTTGAATAAGGTTGATGAATATTTGGAGTACGTCGTAGTATTCGAGTAGTTTCCGAATTACTTCGCGGTGAACGCTGTCGAAGGCCCTCTCAAAGTCTATGAAGTTGAGGTAGAGGTTTGATTGCCATTCCATACTTTGTTCGATGATGATGCGTAGAGTTGCGTTAAGTTTAGATCTATTGCTGTTACCTCAACATTTTGCAAAATAAAGAATTGCTCTCTTAAATAACACTGAAATTTTATTGAGTGATGTTAATAACCAAAAACAGTTTGCTTGCAAGCATGTTAGGTGTACTCTAGGTGCTGGTCTTGTCGTACACACTAGCGTTTATAAAAAGCCAACACATTCTAATGGATATTTAGATTTTAATTCATCTCATCCGTTCGTTAGCTGCAAAGACAGGCTTAGTTAAGTAATTAACAAACCAAGCAATAGCACTAATTAGTACAATAAAAAACCTAAACGGTGAAATGTAACAGATAGAAGAGGCGTTGATGTTAAATAACTAACTATCCTAAAAAATTCATTAGGAATATCAGAAAAGGTCAAAAGCAACATAAAAATAATGGTGAAACTAGTGATGATAACATAAATGAGAGAGAATATAAGGCTTCTGCAGTTATACCGTACAAGGAGGGGATATCCGAGACCCTACATAGGATTCTCAATAAAGTAGGAATTAGGGTGGTATTCAAACCGACAAAGTCACTCAGAGAAAAGCTCTGTAGGCTAAAGGACCCTGTCGGTTGACCCAATCAAACAAAATAATATAATTTACAAAATACCTTCCAATGACGGTAAGTCAATTACATAGGTCAGACTAGTAAATCAGGAGTAGTTAGATTATCAGAACATAAAAATTTAGCTAAGGTTAGAATGATTGGCTCCACGAAGACAAGTAATTAAGAGGAAAACTCAGCATTTGCACTGCATGCATTAACACACAACCACACAATAGGGTGGGTGGAATAGAGTCAAAATTCTAAAGAGTAATATAGGTAAATGGAGAGAGATTGATTACTGAATCCTGGTTCATCGAGTCTACACCCAACAAATGCATAGAATTGACAAAACGCAAATACCAGAGATATTTTTTTTAAATTTCCTTCACGTTCCCCAGTGGAACATAGGGCTTCAAGCTAGAGGCTTGAAGTTTCTGTAGCAGTGTTTATTTTACAGTATGTAAAAAACTTTTCTGTACGTAAGTCTCACAATTTATTTAGGCTGTAAGCAGCTGATGAGAAGCCGACGAAATAAATGATGGTACCATATTATTCTGCACAAACCGCTGTTGTTCTTGCTTTATTTACAGGATGTGGTTGCTAGCCTCATGCCCAACCTTTCCTCTTCACCAGTATTATTTCTGATTAAGTGAGGTAAAGGAGTGCGTCGGCCGGGGATCGAACCCCGGACCATGTGCATGGTCGGCGAGCGTCCTAACCACTATACCACCGACGCACATACCAGAGATATGGAAGATATAATTACCAGTCAAATCAGAGGATAATAAATAGTGTTAAAGTGTGTTTCAATTCACATCATAACATTCTAACAAGTTACATATTATGACTATAAAAATACTCGTCTTATTTCCCATCTGATTGTATTTGACTGACAGCATTAATATTATTTCTGAATGTACATTATCTTATTCTGATTTTTATTCAAATGTCAAATCGACTTCACTCATGTATATAAATGAAGCAAAACGTTGTGCGATTGACTTCATATGATTATGAGCAATAATTTCTGCTCGAAACATGGTTATCAGTAAATATTACTGTACAACACTGTGTGATTTATCAAAATAAAATCTTATCCATAATGGATTACTGTCTCCACTTTAGAAAAAGGTGCTAAAAATGTCTGGTGTACCTTCTCTTTATTACACACCTGCTTTGGATTTTTAACCTAGATCTCATTTATTAGACAAGCTTGTTGGGACACAAACAGAGTACTAGTTTCATAAATGGTTGCATTCTTATTTTTCTGACAGAAATCAATGCACTATATATAAAGGAAAGACCTCCATGTCTTTACTTACTGTAGCCAGTGTTCCTGAAGGTGTTATTCTTTATTTTTTTTCTGTTATGTTTATTCTTTTGTGATTTGCCTTATATTGATGAAGTCAATTTTGTTAAGCATTCCGATGATCTGACTACTTCTATGGGGGTTACGTTTCAAACAGATTGGCTTAAAATGAGCAGCTTTCGATCAGAACTTAGTTAGTGGTCCTTGTCTAGTGGTCTGAAACCAAATCCTTGCAAATGTTAGATTGTTTATCTCACTTTCATACATAATTGTGATTTACATGAACTGCTTCTCTCCCATAATGCTGGTGTCACCGAAAGTAGCGAAGTTGAAAATAAATTGAAGGTCAAACACCTTGGAACAGAACTTTCCTGGTCTTGCGAAACCATGTTGATTTCCAGAAAGATATTTTGTCTAATGGTCCACGTAGGGAAGTTAATACAAACTGGTATTACCCAGTTCCACCTTTTACACTTTGTTAATTCTTGTATTCTACCTATTCGTCTCTATTTTTTTCCTTCACGTTCCCCTGTGGAACATAGGGCTTCAAGCCAGAGGCTTGAAGTTTCTGTAGCAGTGTTTATTTTTACAGGATGAGGTTGCTAGCCTCATGCCCAACCTTTCCTCTTTACCAACTTTTTATTACTGACTTGGCGAGGTAAATGAGGGAGTCGGCTGAGGACCGAATCCAGACCATATGCATAGTCAGCGAGTGTCCTAACCGCTGTTCCACCGACGCTCCTCCTTAATCTTTCCTGAGCTAATTAAAAAAGACTTTATTACTTGGTGAGGGCATTGAGAGATGTCGGTCGGATAAGTGAGGTATCGCTGAACCAGCTCATTAATACTGTTATGGATAGACACTTGAAAACATGGGATAAACTGGCAAGCATCATCTTGTCGGACTCTGATCTTTCTCTTCGTATACAACTCTCACCTTGCATTTCGTTGGATAGTGATGAGGGGATTATAAAAGACTGTATGCTTGGACAAATGGGTATAGAAAATCTTCGACACCTTACTCGGTACGCATTTTATATGACCATTTAACCTTCAATATGGAGCCAGCGAAGGTAGTTTTTGACAAAAGTCTGCAATCTGTTGGAAATCCTCCTCGTGACAAGCCAAGTTTCTGATCTGTGTAGAAAGACTGACTTGACATTGGTGCTGATAGTGCAAATCTTGTTCCTTATGATGGCTGAGTGTAGGAGATTTTTAAACTGGTTTCAGGTTGATGAAGGCGTATCTTGCCTTTCCGAACCTGACTTTGAAATCTTCTTCCGTTCCGCCTGTAGTTGAAACGATGCTTCCCAGATAAGTGATGGAGGTAACCTCTGTTAAATCTCTCTCGTCGGTGCTGATTGGTGCTGGATGGTGTTGTTGTTGGTTGGTTATCTTCATCACCTCCATCTTCTCTATGTTCACTTGCAGTCCTGTCTTGGCTGCTTGACTCTTCAGCCAGTTTGTTGGTTTTCGCTGGTAAGTCTTCAAGTTTGTGTGACATCAGACATATATTATCCAAGAAATCCAGATCTTCTGGAGTCTTCTTATTGGTGGTTCAGCGTATTCCTGTCTCCTCGCTCCAAAACACCGTCTTCCACATAATCCAGTCCACCACAATTACGAATATCATCGGTGACAATGGGCAGCCAGCCTTGTCTTACTCCTATATGCACTTCGAACTCCTTGCTGAGTTTTTTCATAGAAATCACCTTTTTCTGTGATTACATAATACCTCACTCTAAACTTCATTTTCTCCCCCAGTAAAATTTAGCTAGTGACAGTTTATTTTAAGAATTACTATCAGTTTTCTTGGTAGTACTTTGTGTGATAGACTAGAAACTATACGCTAAGTTAGGACACACTGATACTGAATAGGTTCTCATTTCTAATTTATTGAGGTACAAGAAAGCTGAAAATAGTGAAACGCAATTGGAATTACTTGATTTTTTTCTTCACAAAAGTAATAAATTAGTATATTGTGACAGTAGTGTACACCTGCTGCCGCAGTCAATCTAAATTTTATATCATATCCTCCGGCAATGTTTCTTTAATATTTTGACGAAATTTATTTGCAGTTAACTTTCTAGGGAAAAGATTTTGCACATGATAATGTATTTCCATTTCTTTTTTCAACATCATGGATAATCTTTTTTAACATTTTTTAGATGGAATGATGATGTTCAGGTTGATCGAAATACATCCATGGATGTGGTTGGTAAGTTTTGATACTTATTTTTAGAATGATATTACGCCGCTAACAAGGGTGGTTTTTGCTAAAAACGAATCAGAATCACTGTTACTGTTTTGACAGTTTTCAGTTAGGAGACAGGTTTTTTTGACAAAATTCTCCTTCTGAAAGAATTTTAAGCAACTGAACCTACTCTGTTAAATATATGGTCTTTAAAATGTATACTCGCATAAAATTTTCTCCAGCCATACTACTTCGAACGTTTTACAAAATATATATGGAAGTTCAAGTATTGGTTTGTAGGGATTTGGTTGATTGGTTACAGGGTTTCATCATGAGCTGACATCAGTTAGAGAACTGTTGGAAAACCTGCAGGGAGTACTGCACAGCTGTTTCGTCCTAGTTTGGGACTCTTCATCAGTACGCACCCACCGGGGTTCGAACCCAGGACCAGTAGGTTGCAGCAGGTCGGGTGTGAGGACAAATACTCGCCGAAGACATTAGCTAGCGGTTGTGCTATGTTGTGAATTGGCAGAAGTTAGAATTCATGGGCTGGCCATTGGATCGGGTCCCAGTGGCTTAATGGTATACGAGCTCGCCTTGTAACCAGAAGGTCCTGGGTTCGAACCCCGGTGGGTGGGTTATGCTGAAGAGTCCCAAGCTAGGACGAAACAGCTGTGCAGTACACCCTGCAGGTTTTCCAATGGTTCTCTAACTCATGTCAGCTCATGATGAAATCCTGTAACCAATACATGGAAGTCTTTGAATTCAGTTTGTCTAAATATTCAACAATATCACTTACGCCAGGGGATAAATAATTTTAACAATAATGATAGCTTTACTCTGGACAGTGTTTATATGATGTACAGAATTTTCAGCACACTATATTCCACAATAGATTATTCTCCTGAAAGATGTTTAATTAACATTGTGATTTGCAGTAGATTGTTTGACACACTTCTGCCTGAACTGAAGCATAAACTAGAAAACTCAACTGAAAAATGTTTGCGACTACATTATGAGAATGAATGAAGACTGCAGACAGTAAGTTTTATTTCTAAAGAGATGACAGTTTGTTCTAAAAGTCCCAAGAACAGTCATCTCATGTATTGGGATATGTTGTCATCTGCGACTATGATTTTTCTCAATTTTGGTAGAAACCTGCGAATTAGCAAGTTATGTACGTTTTAAATACCCATGAGAGTAAACACTGCTAACAGAGGTCATATTTTAATAGATTAAAACAAAGTGAGCAAGTGAAGTAATACGCAGTATAATGATGATGGTTTTTGGTAGCCCAATTTCTAGTCAGGCTGTCGTAATACCACTTAAAATTTCTACTGAGTAAATATCAAACTCCTACTTCACTTACAATTACACTGAACTGCTTAAATTCATTCAACTAGATAGTATACTTCTAACATTCAGTCACTGAGAATACTTGTCATATCTAAAGACTGATCACATGTTTTGCCTTTGATCAGAGATATCAAGACAGATACATTTATAGAATTAATACTTTTGACCATCGATAAATTCATCTTTGTGATATTATTGATTTTATCTTCATGTGAAAACTTAATCGCGTGTTACTGACTAGCTTTTTCAGTGACAATTAGACGGTGTCAGTATCGCAATTTACTCTCTCGTTTTCTAGGATATTGAATTCATACCGTGCTGAGTCTTAGAGATATTTAAATTTATGCGGTGTGTATCAGTCTAGATTGATAAAATGATGCAAAGTCCATCATCCTGAAAATTTTAAACACATTAGTTAAACTGAAAAGATTCATAAATCGCTTTTCAAATTCCAAAAACCTTTTAGATCACTAAGATTGAATACTTAGTGTGAAGATATTTACGCGATGATTGTTGACTCGGTTGTAGAATGCTTACCAACTGTGCAGTTGGTTTGGTTTTGATTCCTGAACTTTTAGACCTTGTTCAGCTGTTAGTAAGCCAGGTAAAGAGGGAAAGTTAGGAGAGAGGCTAGCAACTCCATCCCATAAAAGTATACGACATCTGCTGAAATTTCAAAGCTCAAGCATTGGGCCGTATTTTTCTCTAAGAATGCGAAGGAATCAGAAAAACGTCAGGCGGCGATTGTTCCAGTGATTACCTCACAAAAAGCGCTTTGTATCCACAGTACTTAAAGTATTTAGAACTCAAAAAGTCCTTTTTCACAGTAATGAGAAAAAGGAATATACTTACAACAATATCAGTATTTAAGTAGCAGGTCAAAATCCCTCATAGTATAAGTCAGTAAAATGGTGCATTTCGTCTTGAAATTACATACAACATCAAAATATGTTTATGAAACATTTTAGCTATCATAAAATAAACTAAATATAACTTACGAAGGAAGATTCAAGCATAACAAAACACACTGGAAAAAGCTTAATTCACATGACAAAAGTCACACTGTTTGTTACATAAAAAGAAATATTAACACTCCATACATATGGAGACAAAACCTACCAAAGAAATAAATTATTCAGTGGCTCTTAAAATGTTACAATGTTACGAAATCAACGTCTGTGTAAATATGCTGAGTTTATAACTTCAAATTTTATTCACATGAACATGCGAACAATCACAAGAGACACCTTAATTCAAAATTTGGCCAGTTTATCCCATGGGATTTAGATTTCTCAACAGAATGAAGGCTATTTCTACAGTAATTTGGTTTTTCCAGACAAGGTGAATTTTCTTCGGTGTAATTTGATAAATAATCATTCAATGGTCAGAATATTTATAGTTCCATTTGTAGTTCCATTATCAAACTTAACCTACTAGATATTAAATCACCTCATGGTCATACGAATTGAACTACACTCGTGGTAAATGGATCCAGTATTTCGTCTAATGTGATTTCTATAGCTAAGGAGTTTCATCAGACAAAAACACTGGAGTAAATCCCCGCTTTTTTGTTACTCATCAGCTATCAGACTGAATTCTAGCCTTAACCACTCGCTTATAGTTCATTACACTGCATAGTTGTTTCTTTCACTTTCCCATAGTGAAAAGATCACGCAAATCAGCAAAGTATCCTGGTCGAAGGAACAAATTCAAAAACTGAATTAATTGATAAATTATCAGATAATAAAACCTTTTTCTGGTTAATTCTATGTAATTAACACAAAACTGAATAGCTATGGTCATTTGATCGTCTTATTTGCATACATGAAACAGTTTAAGACAACTGAGAGGGGTTTCCATAATTTCCCAGCACGAACTTTCAAATGCATACAGTTCATGAAACATTACATTAATGTAACAGAGAAGATTTGTAGCTCAGGTGGATGATTTGAAATTAATAGTGTTCTCTGAGCTGGTTGGTTTAGTTGCAGGGCTTTTAGAAACACAAGTATATAGAAAATCAACGCACACAGATCAAATACTCAACTATACTAGCAATAATCCAATTACTCACAAGAGAAACTGTGTGCAGACATTGTTTAAAGAGTTCAAACACATTGTAGCACTCCAGAGTTGAAAAGAATGGGAGAAAAATACCTACAAACGGTCTTCGAAAAGAATGGTTATCCACAAAATTTCATCAAAAAGTGTTTAAAGTCAAATCAAAACACTAACAAGAAACCATCATCAAAGACCACAAGAAAATTCATTCTACCACACATGAGAAATATTTCTGAAATAACAGCTAGAATACTGAAACCGTTTGATATAGATATAACACACATGCCAGTAAAATCGCTTAATTCGATTTTATGCAAACCAAAAGATCCAGCAGAAAAAGGGGATAAAATTAATACCATTTACAAAATAAATTTTATGAACTGTAACAAGCATTAAATCGGCCAAAGTGGGTGCCCCCTTCGAATTACAATCCAGGAACACAAATCAGCCGTGAAAAGACACGATATATATTCTACAGTATCAATGCATATAGACAATTACGGATATCAATTTTATTGGGATAATGTCAAAATCTTAGACAGAGGAAACCCCAAAAGTGCCAGGGAATTCCTAAAAGCCTGGTACTCAAACGAATATGCGATTAACAAACACGTTAATATAGACAAAACCTACCAACTAATTAAAAGTAAATCGTGTGATGAGAAAGTTTAAAATCCCAGTCAATAGAAAATAGTCAATACATATGTAAGGATGGTTACCGGGAGACGCAATAATATCACCCATAAAGAAATTTAAATCCTTTCATTTTATGCTGAATATTGCGCTAAAGATGTTGTCCAGAAGGGAGGGGGGGACGACGAAAGCTCCGCAACTAAACCAACCAGTTCAGAGAACACTATTAACTGCAAATTACACTAATGTGCATAAGGTTACAGCTAAGGCTTAGTGCTTAACGCTTGCATCATATGTGAATGGTAAAGCAGTATAGAGCAGAAATAGTTGCACGGATAACTCGATAGTGTGTACAACCACCTACATTATTCAACAGTTAACTTAGTCTTAATGTCATCTCCACTGGCGTTTTTGAATTGCAATGTAAACAACCACTTTGTTTAAATTAAAATGTAGCTGCATCCAAAAAATGGTAACTGATTGCCTAAAGTTTGCAAAATTAAAATAAGCGAAAAACGTGAACAGTCATTTATTTATCATCCATATGATACCTGAATATTCACTGTTGACTAGAGTTTTTCAGCTAACCTAGAAGAGCTTCTGGTAGGTGTTTAACTCCACTTGCAACATGGTATGTATCACTGATGTATATAAGTACTTGCTAGACAGGATAAAATACTCTAAAATACCCCATATGGTTGTTTCGCTTATTTAAGGATTAGCTCTTCGCACCAGTACTCGGTTTCACTCAACTAACGGAGCCGATTCATTTCAGTTCATTTAACTACACAAGTTAAACTGTTCATAAGGCCCATCTCTGGTAATCTACTTGCTGAATAGTGCTATTTTATATCATTTTATCAATTAATTTGAATAACCATCATTAGAACAATAGCTAATTTCCATTGAAATTAGTTACTTATATATATATATATATATATATTTAATTAGTGTATGTGTATATTGATCGATTGATTTCTGTTTAAAATGAACTCTGTGTAAGTATGTTAAATGGTTATTGTAGATACATTTAATAATGTTTTTGCCCTGTAAGCAGCTGAAGAGAAGGCAACGAAATAAAAGATGGTACCACTTTATTATTCTGCTAAATCTGTAGTTGTTGCTTTGTTTAAATTATACAATAATTTCAAAACAGTGAACGTGATATTTATTATCAGCTGTCCATTTTTTATACTTAGCCTCTCATGAAATACTTCCTTTCTTGATCGACACATCCGGTTTTGATTTATTGTTGCCATTAAATATGAATGGTCCCAAATGAGAAAGAGAGTGGACTATTCCGCATCGCTAGTCCGAACTTCTTATTATTTATTGTTTTATTCCATTACATCTTCAGTGGAACATGGGGCTTCAAAATAGAGCTTCGGAGCTTCGGTAATAGTAGCGTTTATTTTTATTGGATGCAAGCCTCATGCCCAACCTTCCCTCTTTACCAGTCTTGTTATTGGCTTAGTGAGGTAAAGGAGTACGTTGGCTGGGGGTAGAATCCCGAATCACCTCAGTGGTTAGCAAGAACTCTGTGTTCTCTGTGTTCTGACTTCTAGAGAGATATAATCCGTCAGTTAATTCCTATTCTGAAATAAAAAGTTATAGTGGTTCACTTCGTTTACCCATAAAGTGTATTTTCAGACAGGCACTGAAACAGGACTTTCTCCAAACAAGCTATGCAATTAAGTATTAGTTACAAGTATTCACAAGATCAAAATGGTAGCCATTTAGTTTACATTTTTTAATTTACTCTATTCTTTGAAAGTGCACTGTTTAATAAGAGGATAGAATTTCAGTCTGAAGCAAAAACCAAGTTGTCTAAACATGATAATGAATGATATGAGAGCAGCTTGAAAGGCCAACAATCTCTGAAAATGTTATAAGGTGGTGTAGATACATATAAAATCATAATATAAATCTTGTTTCGTTGCTTGTCACACACTGTGAACAACATTTATAGGAGATTTTTAGTTTTACCTTATCCACCTACTCACTAAACAGATCATCGTTGAAATACTGATTAAATAGTGTTTCAATAGAATGTAACGTCAGGTTATGGTGAAAGTTAAGTGTTGGTTCATGGTTGTTCGTATGACTTCAGGTTATCCTTTACCACGCTCTGAAGCGATTAAAATTAGAGTGTACCGAACAGATGTTTTATCTCAGATTAAGACTCTTTTTATAAGTATGCCCCCACAAGCCTACCACCGATCGACCAGAGGACATTCAGCTTTTATTCAAATGCGTTGGTCATTCAGCCACCATGTTAAAACTCAGAGAGTAATATATTCTAAATTCCGTCAATTCATGATGTATAACGCCACTTCCAACCACTGTTATCAGTAAGCATTTCTCCTTAGATCTTACATGGATAAACACCCTAATCATGACGAGCAACTAGCAGTGTGGGTATTCCAGCCGGTACCCGGACATCAATAAGTAGTTTCAATGAAAACTTCTGGATTTTTGTTCCAACTATGCTAGGTTTTGCGCCAACTACTCGTCGAAGGCACTAAATGGTTGCTCTACACACTGAGTCGAAAGAAGTTAGGCTCAAATGGCCATTGAATTCTGTCCAAAATACTGAATGTTAACGTGTTCATTTGGTTAGGTGAAAATCTCTGGGTTTGATCCTCGGTAATTGCATAAGCCTATAGAGTGGTATGTGGTCAAACCTAACTTGAAAGTTGTCTTTCGAAGTAACAGACTTATTCTTAAATATGAGATAACGATGAGAGATTTTCAAGAAATAACTACTCGACTACAGAATGTTTTTAATCATGTATTCTTGTATCCACATCGGCATTAGGTTGGGTATTTAAAAAGTAAGAATTCATTGGAATCTTTGGTACTCGCATAAAATCCAATATATGGTCGATAATCATCGTTTTGCCTTTTATGCACACATACATATATATTACTTCTGTTTCGTAATAGTATATTCTTCCACACTTAATTTAAACTCATCAGCTTGTGAATTGACACAAGGATAACTAAATTTCCCCTGGTATAAAAATATTCATCACAAAAATAATTTTAGTTAAACGTCTTATAGAACAAACTGTCTCATGATGGTATTCAAATCTTTGAATGTCACATCATTGTGAAAATCAGGTGACATGAATGACCGTCAATGTTTTTGGTAGTACCATTATTCAAAAGCTTATCATTCAGGAAGAGAATAAGACAGAAACCGGCGCTAGATGTAAACCTCAAGATTGGTTTGAATTGAGATAGAGATCACACGAATTCTACTTTGTTAATTCCGCCCAATTTTTCCTTAAAGAATCACCTTCATTACGGTAGTCCTTTACTGGAGGAAAAGGAATATACATGGGTAAATGACAATAATTATGAGCGTATGTTCATAATAATTTAAATTTTATCTTATATAAGCTAATTCCTATTCCGTATATTTCTTATTTTATTGCAGTATGCATTCGAGAGGATCCCTTTTCTAAAGTGAGTCTATTCTCTCAAGGTTTATTCATTTCATTCATAGTATAATATAATATATATAATAATATAGTGACAAACAGATGGAAAAGAGACGAAAAAATATCAGAGCAGCCTAAAGCGAGAAATACTGTTGCATAATCTTATTTCATTTTTACAAATAAGACACCTGAAATTATTTTCCTTCCCTTGAATTCAGCTGCCCAGTAACCCTTTATCTATTTTTGGTACTTTTCAACAAATGTTACTGATTTCCATTCATGAGTAAGGGATAACTAACGTATTTGAAGAACATCTGAACTTGGCTTATTCAGAGTCAAAGCTGCACAGATTTCTTCGCTTCTCTGAATTTTTAGATGGAGTATGAGTCATTTGACTCATTTGTTAGACATTTGACTTCAAGCACTTACCTGAAGTCTTATTTACCAACGTTCCGGCATCTGAATAATACTTATAACTGTTGGAATTTAATGTGATTCATACCGTAGTGTACAAATTTTTGCGTGGCTACTGCATAACACATAAAAATATACCTACTGGCTGTGTAATTAAGCATTGGTTTTCTGTTAGCCTGAACACTAACCCTAGACCAGAACTGCATGCGGTCTTATCCTGTGACTCAATCACCCGGATACCTTCTATCTTGGTGAACAAGAGTTTTTTTTATTCCTTCACGTTCCCAGTGGAACATAGGGCTTCAAGCTATATGCTTGAAGTTTCTGTAGCAGTGTTTATTTTTACAGGATGGGTTGGTAGCTTCATACCCAACCTTCCCTCTTAGCCAGTTCTATTACTAGGTTAGCAAGGTGAAGGAGTGCGTCGGCTGGGGATCGAACTCCGGACCATGTGCATGGTCGGCGAGCGTCTTAACCACTGTGCCGCCGAACAAGAGTTGCCTAATAAAAATTAGTTTGTGAGTCCGGCGGACAAATAGACATATCTCTGTCACAACTTAAACCAGTATGTAGCTTATCAGATGCCTTAATAGTATACTTTTTCCTTTATGTCCCCTTATCAGGCAATAGCGATGAGATAAAAGGCAATCTTACTGTCTTGTGCAAGATACAAAGAGGGTTGTATGTTATATGCATGCATCCAGCCCTGATAATGTTTATCATGCATATGCCTCGGTTTTTCAACGGTAGAATGCTCGCCAGTCCTGCTGGAGGTCTTTAGTTTGATTTTAAGCTCAAGCACTCTAGGACCATGTATTTCACTAGCTGATGTTAAACCAGGAAAAAAGGGAAGGTTGACCTTGAGGCTGATAACCTAACTTTGTAAAAACAGCAACATCACTGGTGAGACTTCAATGACTTCAATGAAGTCCTGTTTTTCTGATAGAACACAAGGATAAAAAAGAAATGCAAGTGACAGAAGTGTGAAAAGATGTTTCTAGAAGGCAGCTCGCTAAAACATTAGTATTGTTCCAAAGTTAAGTCTTAATTACCTTTCTTTCTGTGAAAAAAGACGGGTATTAGAATGAATAAAATATATTGAAATGCAAACTAACATTCATCCTGATATAGGCTTAATACTTATTACTCCTTTAGTAGTATAAGTAGTGTTTTTGACTAGCTTCACTGCAAATAGGAATTTTGATATTACTTACTAAATCTGGAGTTGATACCCCATCTTCAGTGACATTTAAAAACTATTCTAACTAATTTAAAGAGAACGTTGATGACGAAGATCGAACAATCGTCAAAATGGATGAGACATCATGTTTATTTAACCATGCTAATGTAAATACTACTAACCAATCACTTGAAAACTGATGCTACAAAGCCGTTGAATAAGCAACTATCATATTCCACTACTTCGAGGAATAATGACTAACAATGAGCTAAGAAACAGTCAATCGGTAGAATTAAACAAAGTTTCTGCTAAGATGACTGTGTGACGGATAGTTTACAGAATGCTGTATGGTTTTGTGAAGGTTAAGTATTCGTTTATTGGAAAATAAAAAGCAAAGATTGCATTACCACATCACAACGAACATCAAAAATTACCCAATCAACTGATATGGGTATTTTCATGATAACGAAGCTATATTTCATTTAAGAAGTGGAGCACATATCTGGCACTTAATGAAGTTATGACTCTGATATAGATGAAATGCTAGTCAAAACAAAAATAAAATGTCTCCAGGAAGCTGGAATTTGGTCTGTAAAAGAAATCCTAATTTGAAATAGGATAAGGTTCTGCCGCAAAACCATTAAAAAACATGAACTGCTTGTCATACAATAAAGTAACAACTTCTGTCTAGTGATCATCACTGATTTGTTTATTTATAGAACTGCATGAAGGATTTCATCATGAGCTGAAATCAGTTAGAGAACCACTGGAAAACCTAGGAGTACTGGACAGCTGTTTCATCCTACTTTGGGACTCTTCAGTAGTACGCACCAGAAGGTCCTGGGTTCGAACCCAGGCGGTGGGTGCGTACTGATGAAAAGTCCCAAACCAGGACGAAACAGCAGTCCAGTACTCCTAGGTTTTCCAGTGGTTCTCTAACTGATGTCAGCTAATGACGAAATCCTCCAACAAATCAAACAAAATCCCTACAAAACCAATACTTGAAAATGTATAGAACTGTTTAAGGTGACGGCAGACCGCTGGTTGATTTCTATTTATTAGTTCAATACGCCTCTGAGACATGTGGTTACTAGTAGTATTTTATTTTATACTAACACCTCATTATCATCACATTTTAAACCAGATAGATCCATTCATCTTGAACTTAGATTAACCGTTGAAAATAGCTATTTGTTCAGAAGACCGTGTGTGTGGTTAACAAATCGACTCCTAGCTATTAACGAAGGTTTCGTCTGAAATCTCAGTCCGATTTATTGTAATTTAGATAAGACGTAGTTAATCAGCTACGAATGGGATACCTGGTCGGTTTTCAGTGAATTGCCAAGCTTAAATTTCAGGTGCTGAAGCTAGATTGTAGCCTGTTCAATAATAGATTTTTGAATGGTGCTATAGGTTGGAATGATCCGAAGACTTCAATGCTTTTGACAACTTAGATTAATTCAGCTAGACATTTCATCGTTCTATTTTTGTATCATGTGTTTTCATATGTCAACACAGATGACTCACTGCTTGATTCATATTTGTATTTTGAAACCAGTTGGATTTATTTCTTACTCAACATGGTAGTGTAAAAACCAGACATTCTTATTCATAACATATATCAAAAGGATTTAAGCACACTATGTTTAATAGAAAATGGGAATAACTTTTGTGATAAATTCACAAATAAGTTACAGCTCTATTACTCCTATCTGTATACGTATATGTTGAAAACATTAAAAATTGGGGTATTATCCGATGTCAGTTTGTTTATTGAATATGTATCACGCAGGGGAATATTGATTTTACGTTGAATGACGTTCTGAGCACAGTTCACTTTCAATGAACATATCATTTCTATGTGGTTATGAACAATACATTGTTTTTGACTGAACAATAGTCAGTACCTAGTGTAATGTGTGTGTGTCTACTCCTATCTTTGGTGCAGACTTATGCAGGTTCGAATCTCAGAAGGTACATGAGCTCCTTCGAGGTTGCAGATACGCCTTGCTGACTGGTGACCGCCAACTAGCACGAAACCTAGGTCAAAGGCTTCCTGTCGATTGCGTCCAACAATCTAATACCAACAATACATTGTGCTCGAGACGTCATTCAATCTTGATTTAGTTGTGTTTCTTGAGCCGGTCGATTTAAATGCGAAGCTTGCTTTGTCCTTCTGGACAACATCTTCAGCAACTGCTGATTCATTTGAGTACTAGGTGCTGAAGATATTGTCAAGAAAGACAACGGAAGTTTTCCAATTCAGTCGACAAGTTTAAGGAACAAAACTAAATCAAAATCATCCACCTGAGCCACAGATCTTCTCCATTAAGTGATTCGCTTGAAAAAAATACAGTTTCACCGTGGCATTTCGAAGTAATCGCTGTTAGCTAGTACCGTTTCTCTTATATCTTCACCTTGAAGTGTAAAATTATCAAAGGAAGTAAAGAATTATCCGATAAACTGTATCTTTAAAACAACCACTGTTTACGGACAAGACAGTCTGTGTTCTTCTGAGTGATTTCAGTAAACCAACCCCACCCACTGACTTCAAAACAGTAAATAATTAGAACTGATTACAGTGGTGTTGTTCAGTATGCCATTTTAACACCAAACTCTCACCTTCCTAAACATTTACTTTCACAGGGAGATTGTAGATTGAAAATATCTATTAGTGGTAGACAAGATATTTTAAGTGTTTTACCTTAATGAATTTGAAGTAAAGCAAAACAAAACATAAAGTAGGATAAAGTGACTCCATTTTATTTCAGTGATGTTATGTCAGCTGATTACCAGCTGATGAATTAAAGTTAATAGCTTCGCCACAGATTTAACGCACTTTATCCGAGAGGATAAAGAAATATCAAAAAATAATTAGGGATAATGACAATATGTAAATAAGTCAAAATGTTAGATTAGTAATATATAAAAATATTACCGTAACTGTATTTAAACCCTGTAGTCGAATTTCTTCGAAAAAAGCATGAACTGCCAAGCAACAGTAGTATCATAGCATTATTGTTGTTATTCCCTTGGACTCCGAGGTGAATACAGGGTTCTAACAACGTACCTCTATTTTGTTCTGTTTTCCTGGGTCATCTTCAAATCGCTCTACGATTATCCATCAGCTTTCATCCCCTCCTTACATGATCTCTTGCACATCACTTTTCAGTGCCCAAACTACCGTCTCCTAATCATGTTCCACTCGAGAAACGGCTTGTGGCGCGACGTCACCCGATGTTCTTCTCAGCGTACATCTGGTCCACTTCCATTTTCCTCAGCATTTTTCTCAAACAATAGGTTCTTGATTGGTCCACTCAAAAATTTCATTATTGATAGTCGTTTCCACCAGGCCATCTGATCTTCACTATGCATACCAGAGAAGCTGATTGTTCATAAAAGTCTGCAGCAGCCTGTTACAAATCCTCTGCGTAACTCCTGCGTCAAGTTTATGACGCTTATGATGTGTGCAGAAGATTTCCAAACTAATTTTAGAGTGATGGATATATGACATGCTATTCCTATTCTGGTCAAGACATCGTCATCCGTGCTGTTGTCTGTAGTTAGAGCAACGCCGCCTCAATAAGCGAAGGGAATAACCTGCTTCTTCCCCTAGCTTGCCGGCTTTCGCCTGTAGATCTTTGAATTTGTGTGACATTTGATATAAATCACCCACCGATCCCAGATCCAAACTCTTTTTATCGGCTGAACCTACTCCTGTCTTCTCTCTCCCGACGGTCTACTTAATGACCCAATTGATTACAGTCAATAATATTATCGGTTGCAGTAGCCAGCCTGAGGTTTCCGTTGTGCATCACTTGACATGCGGCAATGCCGTATGAGATACTAAGGTACATAAATTATTAAATTATGCAAATTATTAGCAAACTGTTAATTAGCAGTTGGTATGAGCCAAAAATAGTATAAGTTCATTCAAGTAGATATTTTTTGTATGCGACTTAGATATAAACCACACCACATTGTTTTACAAAGCGTAAACAACCAGTAATTAACTTACTCACTTTTTTACCAAGTCTTAACAAAACATTTCACGCTAAAAAAGTCCCTCAATGTATTACTTGTTCGACCAAAAAACATTATTTCAGAAATGCAAGTAATTTCCACTCTAAAATTATATATTAGAGTGTTAACATTTTATGTAATTTGATCATTGTATGGAACTAATACTAAGACGTTGATTCTTTCTCTTTTGGTTTTTTTCTCTCTGATTTCTCCAATCCTGTTTAACACGATTCAAACGTTTATCCATAAAAATATCATCACAGGAGAATATTTTCATCAAAATGGTTGGTTCAAATTTGGATAAAAAAGATTTCTTTGGTAAATCTGATCCTTATGTAATTATTTATCGAAGAAATGAACGAGGAAAGTAAGTGGTGCTGGCTTTTTGCTAGAAATCGATTGATTCTGAGAATTTTTTTTGTTTTATAAACACTTCTGTATTTACTGAGAAAACAATTAATCAAGTTTGTCCGTAATATGCAAAAACGAGTAATTCGACTTCAGACCACAGAGTAAAATCAGTACGTCTAGCACATTAGATCGAATTATGATGACCTAACTTTTCTAGATTCTTATGAGTGGTTCTACAGGGACTTTTTATTCGCTTTCTTGAGGTTAATCCATTCATATCTTTTTGTGACGCAATTCATCAACCCTACCTAATAGATAAATGTTGACGCTTAGGCAAAACAAGGATTAAAAGCTGCACCAGCCACGGTTTTGAAAGTTAAAGTATTATCCTTGGAGAAAGTTTAATCTCAAATTTGACTCAAAATTCAAGTCTTTTAGTGCTTTACGTTTACAAAAGCTGTGTTTCTGTAGACGTGAAGAGTATACAATGCAATCTGGAAATAAATCAGATAGACTTAATTATTGGATTATTCATATTGTTTGCAAGTCTATTGGGAATTTCAGTAAGAAATCAAGAGAACACTATTGCAATTCATCAGAGTATTACTCTTGAGGGTTTGTCAAGATATATTTTTCATTATGAGCTCTTTTCACTGCTTTAAATAAGTGACTCTAATGTAAACTTCTTCATTAAAACACAGTGTTTCGAAAATAATTTTGCATGAAATACACTGACTATATTAACGGTTCACTTTTTTGATGGTTATCAATCTCATGCTGTGTCGACACTTCAACTTCATGACTGAAACAACAATTTTGAATGTGTTGAAATGCCTTCCATCAGCTAACGTGTACTTTACGACCAGTTAAAAAGCTTCAAATTAGTCGTACAATGAGACAGCGTTAGCATTTATGAAACATCCACAATACTGACACCAAGTAGTAGACAATGTAATTAAAAAAAATGGACTCGTTATGGTTCGCACTCAAGAAACCAATCTTTTCATCCTACTGTATAGCTGTCAGTAACTTCCTTGAGACACGAACAGTCACAAAATGCTCCAAAGATGGCAAAAAGACGATTATCTGTGGTTAGATTTGTGTGTTTCTATCTAGCAGTGATGACACCAAACATCAAGATTACCTCAACAGTGTCATCAAGTGGATATACAGTTAAGGTATTTTCTAAGTACAAAACTAGCATTGTTGAACAAATTAAGTTAGCCAGATTTCAACGGTGAGAAGCACCTTAGAATAAAGTGGAATATTCTCATCATTGTGGGATCCACATTATGTCCGCAAGAATCACACGCCAACACTTAGTGCAAATAGTCTAAGGTCAGAATAATCTTGATTGAGTGAAATAAAATCACACCGTAGAAACAATACATTGTCAATATCATCACAAAACTACAAGGAAAAGCTTCAAAATTGAAGAATAAACGGGGATAGAGACAAATAATAAGGATAAATTCAACACATATAAATGTCAGGACAATGATATACAGCCTAGGAGAAAGACAGATACTGATGACAAAGTTACCTGAAAGATCCAAATAAGTATAAACGTTATCAGATCATAATTAGATCAATAAGCAGGGATTTCCCAAACAATTACTTTGTTACAGACAAGACTAGATGATACAGATAAATCAATAATCCAGTTGTTTTGCATTTGAGAAAATAAACGGTATGAATAAAAACGGTTAACTCAACTCATCTAAGTTCATAATTTATAGTCCCCACAAGACTATTTAAGTTTAAGTCTAATCCATATTTCCTATCCGTATGTATCTCAACACTATACTCAGAACTGTTTAACAGTTTAACTATTTTGTTCACGAAGAATGTCAGGAATCCAGAAGTCTTGCTATATTAAGACAAACATTCGATATCTTGACGAACTCAAATGGTTTCCATCTGCATTTGAATTACAGTGGAATATTGCGTTAAATGATGAAATTAGTTTCACACAGTTCCTGTGCTGACATTCAAGCACTTTAAATTAAAACGTTGACGTTATTATACAATGAAACATTGTAAAACTTTATACTTAGAAGGAATGAGAAGTCGAACTGTAGAATTTACGGATTTTTGTAGAGATGTCGATGTTCACTTGAAATGCTCACATATTTTTCAATATATATCAGTAAGGAAGATAGCACTAAAATTAAGACATTTAAAGCATCTGTAGTGTTACCATACAAAGAATAAATATGGAAAACTTTGCACAGAGATAAATGTAATATTTAAACCCATAAACTAACTTTGAAACAAATCTTGTCAGCTGAGGATGCCCATTAAACATAAAACACGATGTTTCATCTATTACCACTCCGATCACATAAGGTTAAGTGTATAGTTCAAAGTAGTACTTCTTATTGTTATTCATTTTTTGAGTTCCCATTGCAACGTAGGACCCGAGTGACATATTCCATCTGGTTCACAGGCGTAAATTTTACTTGTCTCCATGACTGTCTTCGAGCCTACACTTCCTCATTACGTGATTTCCAAGGTGACGAGAGAAATTTATAACAGAAACTGTGTTTATGCAGTCGTCTACAGGACTGTGATTCACATTTCATTCCAGTAAATTGCTTAAAATACTCTATTTATCTCTTAGCAAATACAGGACATAAATTTACCCGTTGTTAAAGCCTAAAAAACAACTAAGATTCACATACAAGCAAACCTTTTTGTGTAAATCAAATAATGAAAATTTTTGTCCTCGTCAATAATATAAAAATAAAATCTGATAAACATACAAAAAGACGGAAAAACCAGACAAACTGCCCTGTAGGCATATATGAAAACAAGCAATAATTTGATTTAGAAAGTAATTAATGGTTGTAAATCCATATAATGATGTTCAATTATTTATGAGAATAAATGGCATTCAAATCATTTTTTACTTTTTTTGCTAGATTATTAGTTGTTTATCTCATATTCTAATTCTCAAACATAAAATACAGGATTGTATACATTATGGTATGATAATTGTTATTGTCATGAGTCTTAATTAAGCAAAATGCATATCCTGGATTCCACTGCTCATTATCAGTACTATTCCCATTGGTTACGAGTGAAATATAGAGTATCAGCAAGGCATCTTTATTTTCTCCCATTATCTACAGTATTCTTTAATTGACTCCATGATTGTCCATAAGCTGTCATGTCTCCCTCACATGATCATATGACCATTAATACACTTGGTATTTGCGCTAACAAACTTCTTACCTAGTCGTTTCGCAAGCCTACTGTTCTAATCACTATTGGCAACAACAGCAACAGAGTAAGATTCAACGGAAAGCACGACACAAGAGGACGAGAAAAGAAGGCAAACAGTTGACGTGGAGAGCTTTTACTGTCCATATCAACAGCGAAAATGGTTGACAGCACTTGATTACAATATATATATATATATATATAAATTCTCAGAGTGACTTTAAGAGACACTAATTACACTGATAGGTTAAAACAGTCAACAAGCAATAGGGTTCCAAGGTCATGAGTGGGGGAGGAAAATACAAGCAGCTATGTAAAGACAGAGGTAATATTCTAGAAAATTTAGGTCTTTATAAAACATGGTCTCATTTGTATCATCTTCCAATGCCCAACTCGCCGTCTTCCAATCGGGTTCCCCTAGATTGATGACCTTGAGCTTACTGTCGAACAACAAACTCTTCATTATGTATCCAATCCACTTCCATTTTCCTCAGCATATTGATTAATCCGTTTAAAGAGTTCATTGTTGATAATCATTTTCACCAGGCTATCTGATTTTCACTATGGAGTCAGAGAAGTCGGCTGTTGATAAAACTCTGCAGCAGGCTGCTACAAATGCTCTCCGTAACTTCTGAGTCGAGTTTCTGACCTATATAAAAGAAGTGCCTGTCATAACACCGTTATAAAAATTCAAACTTTATCCCTTGTGATAAGTGCAGAAGATTTCCAAACTGATGGATGTGTGACATACTTTTCCGATTCTGGTTTCGACATAGTCATCCGTGCTGTCATCTGTAGTTAGAGCGACGCTGCCTCGATAAGTGAAGGGAGTAACCTCTCACAAATTTATTGTGTTGATAATTGTCTGTGCTTGTTGTAGATTGCTGGTTACCTTCCTCACCTCCGTCTTCATCTCCTTCCTTTTTTTCGCTGCTCACCAACTCTGTCAACTTGTCTTTTTTCGACTGTATGTCCTCGATTTTGTTTGACATCAGACCTAAATCATCTGCAAAGTCCAGATTTCCTTGAGTATTCTACCCTCCGTCCGCTTGTCTTCTCACTTCCCATAGCCTACTGCATGATCTAATCCACCATAGTCAGGAATACCATCGGTGATAATAGTTCGCCTTGTCTTACACTTGCATGCACTTCAAAGGCTTCACTGAGTTTTCTATTGTGAATCACATGACATGGGATACCATCATATAGCTGATGAATAAACTTGGCTGGGATTTGGAGCACTCCTCAGAGCCGAAGCAGTTTCCAAATCACTTCATTGTCAAACGTCTCTTCAGAGTCGATGAATTTGAGGTAGAAATTTGACTGACACTCTACGCTCTATTCGATGGTGATGCATAGCACTGCAATTCAATCCGCACATGATTTGCTTTTCCTCCAACAAAAATAGATGTCTTGAGTTCAATAAAGCTACTGAAAGCCTGTTGAGAAATCAGCAGAACCGGATGGAATTTCTCCGAAAGCACTGAAAACGGACTTGGCGACAGTTGAGGTTATGCTCATAACATTTTTCCAGAACATTTTCAAAGGAAGAAAGGTACCTACAGATTAGAAGGAAGGCCGAACCTTCAAACTATCAAAGATTTAAGACTTTACAAGAACTGGCACAAAAATCGTGCTCTTATCAACGGCATGCAAAATATTAATTCTCACTACCCTTCAGAGACTGAAAAATGCTCTGGATACAGAACTCCACCCTAACAAACCCTATTCTAGATATCTCTTCTAGCCACATAAAAACAAGTTATGTTATAGTAAATATGTTTTAGAAGATACACTGAATTCATGTAAAGGCACTCTATTACTGAATTACACCATAGCCACTTAGCTATATGTAACCATGTTAAGTACTGAATGGCATTCAAAGGCCATCTGATTATCAGAGTGGATTGATATTATTATATTTAACTTTTAAACCAATTTCTGAGTAGCAGCATGTTCAATTATCTTCTGTTCTGTTTTATTTAAATACAGATTACAGAAATGCTATCGAAGTGAAGTTATCAAGAATACTCTGTTCCCTGATTGGAAGCCTATTCTGGTATGCTTAGATAGATTATGCGGTGGAAACATTGACTGGTAAATATCATTTTAATAGTCTTTTACACCTTATAAAGAAATTATTGATGTGTTGTTAATACTCTTAACATCTTAAATTCAATACTTGAACATTATAATTCTTTTGATACAGTGAAATGTAAGTGTTCAGATTTTCACTTTTCTAAAAAGGAAGGTAAAACAAAAATCAAATCAAACTGGAAATTGAATTTTCGCTTAGTTCACACTTTACAGTCAATTTTTTTCAATAAAAAAAAGAAAACTAATTTACCACCACTCATTTCTAAATGAAAAGTCAAGTGGCATGAATTAAGTAACTGAATTTTGATGTATACTTCAGACACTGGTGCAAGAAAAATGCTCACTAGCGTAAAAGTAGTTACACTTATATTCCTCGAATGTTACCTAATTTTACTTGTGATTAAAATATCCTTCAGGCTAACTTTTAAAAAAATTCCTTTGATTTACGCTTGTGATTCCCCTTCGGGAGTTTAGGACAACTTGTAGTTTTATTTCACTCTGTGTTTTTCCGCTTTTCGTCAACCTCCTCTTTCTCTCTTGTTCTTTCTAAATTTGTTTGAGTTGTCAAGTTGCCGAAATCGTGTGTTCCATTTTTGTTTTTGAGCTTGTTTTCAATGAATGCAAACTGATGGAATGAAGTAGAACTAATTTACTTCAAACAATACTGTCATTTAAAAGTTTGGAAAACAATGTGTAGCCATCTTTTCCACGTCAGAATGTAAACTTTTCGATTGTAACAGTCTGTCATAGTAACTGAAATCATTCGAAAATTATAAATTACAAGTGTTTGAACTATAGGTATTATTCCATATTAGATAGCGCAGTGATATCTACGTTTTTGAGCATGGTTTACCAATCATCATCATACCGAGCTATTTTCGTGACCCCTTTCTTGTCTGTAATAGAATTCGTCTTGATCTAGGTGATCACAGTATCGCTTTTCAGACATTACGAATAAACTTTGTTGGTTGAGCATTGAAATTTCAAACATTTTATTGATTTCTCCATTCTTGTTCACCTTATCACCAACCTATTATTCTATATCTCCAAGTACTCTGGATAAAGCTATTTCTGCAAGTTACAACAAGGTTTCACGTCCCTCCCCCTGTTTGTTTCTTTAAACATTTAGCAAACAGTAGTGCACTACAAACTCACATCAAAGTAAAATGGATTAGTTCAGTTATGCCTTCAGTGTAAATATTTGTAGTTATAACATCTATGATTCACTGCTGAAGTAAAAAGTGGGCAACTTCGAAAGATGTCATCACACAAAAGGATTATTAATTAATGAAAGTAGTCCAGGGTTCAAGATTCATTAAATATCTTGAGCTTATCTCTAATTTAAAGTTTGATCACGAAGTTGCATCAGTTAGAGAAATATTTAGAACCGTGAAGCACTGGACAGCTGTTTCTTAGTAGTTTTTACGCATTCAGCAGTAGGTATCCATGATCCTACGGGGGATCAACTCCTGGACCTTCCGATTACGAGGAGAGACGTTGGCAATTTAACCACTGGGATGGATTGTAATGCCCAATGAATTCTAAATCCGCCAATTTGCGAAATGTATGATTAATATAAGTGTAGAATTTGGTCACTGTGGTAGAATGTAATTCCATATTAGATAAGTTTATTTTAAATATCACACAAGGATGCTGTATTAACAACTGGAAGACATTTCGAGCATAAATAATTGTTCATAATCATGTCAATTTAGTCACATGGTTTGACAATTTATCTAAAATATTTTCCCCCAAATATCTCGACTGCCAACCATTGTCAGTGATGATTATCTCTCCTCTCATTTAACCTGATAAACTCCACTGGTCACGACTTCTAAATTGAGCCTAACGCCTAATAGCAAGGCATCAGAAGTGATGGCTTTAAAATTAATGTATTATGCCAGGTTTAGTATAAGAACTCATTCATTCTTAGTAAAATTTACAGTAATCGAAACATTTAAAAGCATATGACAAGGAACTTAACCCTAAGTTCCTATTGTTACGAAGACGCTCCGAACCGATATTAACTACGACTGAATCTCGACTTTAACTCCAAAACACCAGTGGTTGTAAGAATGAAGTTGTATTATTTGGCAATTAAAATCGAGGTTAGTAAATAGTCTGTAAACAAATGTTTCACAATAAATATTCGTATTCTTTCATCTTCTTCCAACTCGTGCACGATTGAACTATTCGCGCCTTCGAGTTGCCCGCCAGTGGCGACCAAGGCCAATAAACCAACGTTCAATGTTCACTTCCATTGACAGCATATTTCAAATATCCAGAGAATCCATATTTTTATCTCATTGTGTATTTAAGAGTATAAACCACAAAAACTAACTTTAAAGTCTATTACTAAACGAAAGTTTCCATCCGATTGTTTAATTCACTCCATTGTTTCTTAATTCATGACTTGTTTTTTTATTAGTGAATTGTATTTTCGGTGCTTCGACTGGGATGGTGCTGTCGGTGATTCGTAAGTTAACTGAATAAAACAATATCTTTAATGTTTAATTTCATCGTCTAATATATATTTTAAGAAAATCACTCGTAAATGAAGATGAAAGTTTTATTCTTCTCGCTTAAAATTTCTTTAATTATTACGACATTATTAAGAGTTTAATATTGCCTTAAGTCAAAAATCTAATGAATGCGATTCTCTCAAAGAAAATTTCAATTCTGTTCTTCATACTCTCTACTTGACAATGTAATCACGAAAAGTTGGCGTTGATAAATATTCTTGAGTAAGAAATCTTTAATTTCTCCCTTTGGATGTCAGTTTTTTTATTCCTTCTCGTTCATAATTGAACATAAGGCTTCAAGCCTCAGTTTTGAAGTTTCAGTAGCAGTGGTGTCATTTCTATTGGCTTGCTAGCCTTACGCCCTAGCTTCTCTCTCTACGGGGCGTACCACCGACTAAGGAAGGTTTAGAAGTCTTCGGGAGGGATTTGAACCTCGGAGCACGAACGTGGTTGGATGCCAATTACGACTAGATGTTTCCTTATCCTATAGTGCATATCATAAATCATCAAGTTTACCACTCATACTCCACACGGTTCGGTCATTTACCCCCTCCCATTGTATAGATGAATAGTGGTCTGTACCTGATACTAGTCGGTGGAGTTTGATGTTAGGGGCACTCTCAGAGACAGAATAATCGTTCTTTGGTGAATATTTGTTCCTCAAGATGGTTATCACCAACTACGTAATTATTTTGAAACATCTACCTAAAGTTAAATATGAAATGAGTCATTATTTGCCTATTACATATTTCTAGATAAAAGTTCACGATGGTCATATTCTGAGGCCTAAAATATTCATTTTCTGACGTACTTGATATTATAAATGTCGACCGGGGATTTAAACAAAACAGCACAGATTTTGACGAGTTATTTGAGTGGATACAATTCCTTTCTTGTGATTTATACGACTTGAATTGGAAATTTTAGACATTTCCTTCCATTAGCTAGCCGAAACTTCAAATGATTCAGATTAAGCAATAACAATCTTTTATTTACTGTTAGTGACAGTTGCAGAAAGTAGATTACAGATTGCAAACATCCAGATCGCAGAGATCCTAGACCTATCTCTGATTTCAGAAGACTAAGCCTAATACGCAGAACACTATGCAATTTAACTGACGCAGAACAGCAGAAAACGGTTGGGTAGCACGACCGTTTATTCTTCAAGGGACAATCAAACAGATTTACAATGGTTTATCAGTGCTTTTTTTTCCTTCACGTTCCCCAGTGGAACATTGGGCTCCAAGCTAGTGGCTTGAAGTTTCTGTATCAGTGTTTATTTTTACAGGATGGGGTTGCTGGCCTCATGTCGAACCTTTCCTCTTCACCAGCATTTATTCTGGTTAAGCGAGGTAAAGGAGTGCGTCAGTGGCCGGGGATCGAACCCCGGACCATTTGCGTGGTCGGCGAGCGCCCTAACCGCTATGCCACCGACGCACTTTATCAGTGCTAAAATCTGTAAATAAAAGTTAAAATACTGTACAACAATACTTTTGATTGTATTTCTCCAATCTTCTTCCATCCAGTACACAATTAAGCAGCTATAGCCTTTTTGTCTCCCGCCAATATGGAGGCGAGTTCGAATAAACAAACAAACAACTCAGTGTTCGCCAGCACTAACATCTACTGTCACCATAATGAATATAAATATTTGCACAATAATACTCAATATACATCTTTAGTAACCATTCCATTTGGCTTACTTAGCTAGTCTTCATCTCTGTCTCAATGTTTCCTTTCTCACACTCACATGTCACCAACTGACTCCTCATTTAATAAATATTGCTAGACATAACTGATGTCATTAACACAGGAATAAGACAGGTTGTTTCAACGCCTAACAGATGCTACTAAAGAGACATCACAGGAACAGAATATTAACTACTGTTCGTTGACTAGTTTTCTCTCTTTTTCAACTGAAATTGCTTTAATCTTAATTCTCTTTTTTCAGTAATTTATTCATATGTCCTGAAAAAAATGTCATTTATTATTACTTTTTAAATTTTTACTCTTTTTTTAATAGAGAAGACGTCGATACAGAGATTGAGTAAGTCAATAACATTATGCATATGTATATGTGTCCTACATATTTTATTTCTAGTCTGCTTATTATCACAGGTCACACGTATTTGTAAAGTTCTCTAAACAACCTAGAGGATGTATGAAATCGTTATTCACATATGGAAGAAGATCAGTAAAACTGAACTATGTTCAGTTATGTCGATTTTCTTGGTTATGTCGATTAGTTTCCTCGAGCATTATACACTTTGATACTATACTATTATGCTATTATATTGATCTCTTAATTATGCTTACACACATCCATATGTATATACCGATAGACATACGTGCAATCTCTGTCGTTTCTCAGTAGACTTCCAAGTCATCATGACACTAATTAGGGAACGTTAGACTTACAGTGTGGACGTTCGTGCGTACGTATGTACATGTATGTTTAGTGTTATAAAAGAAGTTTATTCGTAGGAGACTGAATACCCTTCGTTTGGAGATAAATCTCTTACATGGAAGAAGCTTAAGCATAATCTACGTTTACTTTTGTTCTCCTGGAATCATTTATGCCAGCTGGTTAGTATAATCTAGTATGAACACTATAAATGAGATTAACTTCAGTCATTCATAAAAACAAATGATGTAATGACATATTGCAATCATTGGCAACTGAATTTACCAAAGATCATATCTAAGTTGAGTTCATCTCAATCACTAGCTGGTATCTATACAGTCTAATGACAAGCTAACTTTCAGCTTTGCTCTTCTAATCATGCTCTCTTCTCTTAAATCTCTACTAAAAATGATCGAACTAATTAGAAGCCATTTCTTATTTTCATTTGTATGAGATTATATTCTGTTTGTACTATCTCTTAGAAGGTCTAGATGTGCACGTAAAACTTGTTGACTTATTCATTTTTACTAACGGAATTTTAATACTGATTTTAATGGTACATGCAGCGATTCTTCATTGCTTTGTGTTCCGAATGGAACATGAGGCTTACAGCTTGAGCTTTAGAGTTTCAATAACAGTGGTGTAATTTTATGGAGTCGGGTTGCTTATCTCAAGTTAAGCATTCCTTCTCTAAAGAGTTAGCGATGTTCAGGTTCTAAGCAAATTAAAGTCGATAAATCTTTTGTTCATTTAATTCATAGTAATTGAACACACTTTATGAAGTTTCAGATGATTTCGCTGTGAACTAACATCAGCTAGAGAGATCACCGAGTACTCGGGATCACTAGGAAACTGTGGGTAGTCGTGACCAGTTGAGTCTACTGTGTCTAGGTGAATTGGATGCTCTTGGAAGGTAATGGAGACAGAAATGCTATATCAAGTGTTGATAAATTTAGGACGGAAAATTCATCTGATGCTCACTAGTGATTGGCCCTATTCAGGCAGTGACCTGGAGTTCTGGTGGGAAGCTGTGACCAGTAGGATACACCAGGTTGAAGGTTAGCCAGTAACTCATTGAAGAAGACATTGTTAAGTGATCACTCTATTTCATGAATTAGCAGAAGTTAGAATTCATGGACTGGCCATTGGATTGGGTCCCAGTGGCTTGATAGTCTACTAGCTAGCTTGCCTTGTAACCAGAAGGTCCTGGGTTCGAACCCTAGTGGTGTGTGCGTACTGATGAACAGCTCCAAACTAGGATGAAACACCTGTTCAGTACTTCTAGGTTTTCCAATGGTTCTCTAACTGATGTCAGCTCATGAATAAATCCTCCAGCCAAAGATTTAGAATTCACGGGTCACTGAATTCCACCCCGAGTGACTGAACGATCAACGAGTTTAGTCTCTTAACCTGAAAGTCCCATGTTTCATCCCTAATGGGTCTTTGGGTGCACTCTGCTTAAATAGGAGTTCTAAAACAGGATGACTCAGGTGTCCAATGCTCCCTGTTTTCAATGGTCTTACTAACTGATGACGAAAATCTTCTCCTCAGTCTTCTCCCCTACATAACACTAATCTTAAACATACCAAAATATTATGCTGCAGAAAACTGGCGAGAAAAAGAAACTTATAGAGTATGTTTAAAAAATCCCTGGAGTTAATACAATTTGATTCTTAATATCATACAATGTGTTACATTAAATAAACGTATCTGATGTGAAACTAATAGTTTTCTTTGTTCTCATAACCATCCCATAGTTTCCATTTTGATAAATAATATTATTATAGATGTTGAGGTAACTCACCCTTCATGTTAACCTACACCTAAGAATCGAGTATATATCTTTATACGAATACCTGACGCTTAAATTCCACGAAAAAATTCGAATGAACAGATCTTTTACACACCACATCTCAAGAATCATTTTCAACAGAAATCCTGCAATCTTCATCTAATAGGTATTAAAAACGTAACCAGTTATACAAAATGCCATACTAAACAAAATTAGGAATAAAAATAGCCATAATTTATTTAATAAAATCTACAGACTAATACTCACAGCTTCTGAGTGTAAACTCTAATCAGAATTATCTCAAACCACACCTAAGTGTTAATTCCATTTAGACCAACGCTTACAATAAGCCACTCCTTAATTTCTTTTCCTTCTATTCCTATGGCATCCTTATAAGCTATTCTTCTTGAACATAAGATAGCCAAATAAAAGATTCCTTCATCAGTATGGATAAATAGAATAGGAAAAAAGCTTTCACACTTTGCCCTTTTTCTATAAAATCCCCTATTTCTATAAGAAATTTAGTCAGGGAAGTCATTTTAAAGTGCATTTTGCTGATATCAAAATAAAGCATTGCAATAACCACCCAGTTTATTGCCTTCCTAGAGAAGAAAAGAAGTTCAGCAAAGATGTCTTATCAGTGATTTCCTTCCCAATAGTTATTTATATACATAAGTTAGCATTTAGTGTCAGTCACAAGGTTGACAGAAATCTGCCGAAGACAGTATAATTCTGACCCGTTTCTGCTGTTTAAGCTGTCGCTAGAGGTATTCATCGAAAAGTTGGGACTGTGCAATCAAAAGTGGCTACTCCAATTTCTGCATCTACCGTAAATCTAGTCATGTTTAGCCCACTAAACATTTATACATGTTGATGACTGTTGCATGACTCATGGTTGGACAAAATTTAAAAACATGAATTGTTCCTTTTATATATAAACCTCTGTTATGTTAATTCGATTAATTTCCCTGAAGAAGCTCGGACCAGATTGCCGAACGAAATGTTGGAATTAATCATTTCAATTTCGCTGAGATTTTAAAAATATAATTTTATAAATTTTTTCATTTCATCTATAATTTTTAGTTATAAGATTATAATTTCAAAGAACTGATTAATGAACAAAGAATATTCTTTTCAATAAATTCGTTATCTGATTCTTCACTTATATGACAATAATAATTAAAGAATTATTGTTGTTAACAATAATAATGTTTTAAATTACAGTGGGTCAGTAGTATCGTTGGATCGCATTTCGAAAGCATCAATAAAAGACAATAAGCAGTAATATAACACCGAACTCAATGTGAAATGAACTAAAGGAAGTAACAGTGAATTGACGAATTTATAGATTCGACAGCAGGCCAGAGTAGCAATCGTGCCTGAACCTGTTTCTTTTCCGCATGGAGCTCCTGTTAATTTAAGTGAACTGCAATAGTCTGTGCTATTTGGAGTGCTTGGTGTCTACAGGCCTTCATTAATTTATTCGATACCTGATAGATTATGGAGAAAGTTTCTTCATTGCTGGCTTTCTGACCTGTTTAAACAAAGTGATCTATTATAGAACTGTTAATGGTTTTCACTAAACCTTTATTTAGCCATACTGGTAGATGTTTCTGAGCAAGAAAAATTAGGTTCCCAAAGCAACAGTCAATATTACTGACGCAACAGGAGCAGCTAAATTGATAGTGAATTACTGATAAGTGACAATTTTTGTCATTAGTGTAATTTGTAACCGGAAGGTCCTGCGTTCGAATCATAGTGGGTGCGTACTGACGATGATTCCCAAACTAGGATGAAACAGCAGCTGTCCAGTACTCCCTGGTTTTCAATGGTTCTCTAACTGATATCAGTCTGTGATCAACTCGTAAAACATAACTAATCCTTACAAACCAAACTATAGATAATTTGAATAAGGCATTTAGAAGACAAATTTCGCGAGATGATAGCATCATTTTGTGGTTTCTTTACAACCGCTTTACAATTAACATGGTTCACAATAATAAAATAAAATGAATGACAATTACTCAGTTAAATAAAAAACAAAAGTACATACTAATGACCAATCATATTTAAATAGGTCAAGTAGTCCATGGCATGCGAAGGCTGAAGTCTACTTCTTTTTTGTACACACAGTTTGTGATGTATATGATTAATCCTAAAAGTGCTTCCATCAACTTCAGTAACCTTGAATTAGAGTTATGTGAAATAATTGTGAAACAGTCATTAATATTGATTTTGTGACCTGACACTAATAAGTGATTTGCAATGGATAATGATAGATTTTTATTCAGATCACTTGCATTGGGATTTTCCATATGTTTTAATAACCGTTTTGGAACATGTTCTTTTCGACGACATTGGTCATTCTACCGGTTCTAACTACACAAGTGTCAACGCAACTGCAGGTGAAATTGTAAACACAGTTTGAAGTATAGTCCACAGAATTTCGGTCTTTAATCGTAGGTATAGAGACCGAAAATGTTCGAGATGTGAAGGAAAGAGATGCGGCGCAGAATTTGCGTTTGATAGCTGACCGAAGTCTTTGAGGTGTCAACTGTTTAACTTGGTCACCCTTGAATGGTAGGTTATTGTGACAACTATTATAATTACAATTATTACCGTCATATAAATGTAGAATCTGATAATGAATTTGTCGAAAAGAATATTCTTTGTTCACTAATCAGTCACCCAAATTTTTAATGGAACTGTTCAAACTGCTATTTCAGTTTGTTTCTGTGGACATCTTGGTCACACCTATTTCCTGTAAGACCTAGCTTACACATTCAGTAACCGCATTCATAACTCTGTTTTGCCGTGGTTTTTATGCCTTATTTGATTAATATTCCTCTGTCATTGCAACTGAAAACTCTCATATCTTCTATAGTCTGGTTTCTAATAGTTAGTTATGTTTTTACGAGTTGATCACGGATTGATATCAGTTAGAGAACCATTGAAAACCAGCACTGGAGTACTGGACAGTTATTTCACTCTAGTTTGGGAATCATCGGCAGTACTCACCCACTATGATTCGAACCCATGACCTTCCGGTTACAAGGTAAGCTCGTATACCATTCAGCCACTGGGACCCGATTCAATTGCTAGTCCATGAATTCTAACTTCTACCAATTCGTGATTTAGCGCGACCCCAACCATTGTCGCTGGTGGGACATCCATCCCCACACTCACTAGAATCTGCCTGAAAATTATTGCGTCCTTTAAATCTCAGCTTCGTTTCTATTTCGAGTGAAATAATATTCGTAATTATGCCAGGTTTTGTAGTATAAGCCGCGATTGTGTAGCCATTGAGGAATGAATTTGTCAAAAATAAGTGACTTTGTAGAACTTACTGTTTTCTCTATAATGTCCTCATGAGTATTTTCAACAAACTGCTGGCTATGCAACATATGCAAACTATTTATTTGAGTTACTGAATGATGTTAATCTCAATTTTTTGTAAAAAACAAACATTGTCTTAAAAATGTTTCATGCTTCCTTTTTTTTTAATTTTTCACAAACTTTGTTACAAAGTTTTATCCCACTTTTTTATCTTGTCTTTTTTATCTAACTCTAGTGATTTGATTGGAGAATTCAATACAACTGTCAGTAAATTGTTAAATAGTGGTGAAAGTGGAATTGAATTTCAGGTAACGTAGATTAATTAGTTAATGGCTTGCTTGTCTTTCTTTTATGTCAACGTCATCAATATGCATATATATATATATAATCTGTATTTCTATTATTGTATTCTCCTAGTCAAAAATATCTAACTCATTATGATATTGCAATTTTGTCAAACGTAAATTATTCATCCTGTTTGATCAATAGTCTGTAGTTTATTGTATCAGCTGGCGTAATTCTTATTAATGATTCATTGCACTGCCTTATTTATAAGGTATACACTCTTCGTTAAAGTTAGCTTAGCTTATAATAAAAACATTTCCGCCTGGTTATAAGTAATGCAGAACTTAAATTATATCCAAAAAGCAAGCAAAACGATTTGATGTTTGGGTTGAAAACCTAACCCTTTTATATCTGTCATGCTTCAGTACTTTTCGAAAGTTATAAGATAAAGCGACAACATTCAAGTGGAGCACAGAAATAATCTATAAAGCATCACTCATTCATAAATGGAATTTTAACCCTTATACCACGACTGTCATAAAATAATACAATCTAACAAGTTCATATGATTTACGCCCCACCTTAACCCTATAGCCTTTCAACTAAGGAAAGAATAAACTGTCACAAACAGGTGCTTATTGGTTGACTGAATGATTATATGTTCATAACAGGACTGCATTATCTTTAGTCTCTGTATACAATGATAAAGTGTCAAATAAATATTAAATATCTTCCAGGTACTGATTGTTTACTTGTTGATATCACTTAGTTAAGGTTGAATCCTGTTCAGTGAAACCTCATCTTTTTTAGAAGTTAACACTTACTTTTGCTCTGTAAATTGATGAACTTTATTAAAATAGAAAGTAGCCTCTCAAGGTAATAACCTAGCCAGCATAATGCATCAACACCTTCCTTCATTTCTAAATGTTTTAATCATTAAGTTATGGCGTTAGATCAGGAGGAACTTTATGATGGATTTCAAACTACTTCTGTTCATTTCTCTGAGGAACTGAAGGGAGAATACAGTAGGAAACTGGATCTTAATTCAAATACAAATTTGCAACGCATGATCTATAATCGATTACTATTTTGCTTTAAGATCATGCTAGAAGGGTGAAAATTTTACAGTAAAAGGTTGTAAGAATCATGTACTGTGTCTAAACGTGTCGTTAGTGTTATATATCACTGATGAATTTTCAAACTCCACAGCAAGTCAGGGCAGTAATAATGGTTAGACCTGTTTCTTCTGCACACAGAGCACCAGTTGTCTTAGGTGATTCGCGATAACCTCTGCTGTTTGGAGTATGCGTCACCAGGATGTTTTTGGCGATTTTTTGGTACCTGATAGATGATAGAGAAGGACTCTTTAATAATGGCTTCGATCCAACCACTATTACTCGCCTGGCCGTCTGTGGAGTTTGTAAATTCATAAATACCTAATTATACCGGCCTTTTGATATGGCCTTTCATCCTATACTTATATATTATTAATAAAAGCTGTAATATCCTACATTAACACATCATCTTTAAGATACCATAAAGTAATTCAGAAGTACGAAAACTATACAAATGATTGATGTGAAAGTGAAAGTTTACGGCAACTATTAGTCATGTAGACTTGATTTCAATAAGAGAACCGCTGAAAACCAGGATTTCGCCCCGCTGGCTGACTCGTCAACGAGCTAATTGTGCAGCTTGAAGGTAATGAGTCCGGTTCCCTGAGGGGTTATGGATGCCTACTGCTGAAGAGTTTCAAAGTGCAGCGAAACAGCTGCTCAGTACTTCCTGGTTTCAATGGCTCTTTAACTGAAAAAAATTCCTGACAATGTAAATTTACAAAAGGAACTCAAAAAAATAAGTTTATTACATTTTCTGTATATCTAACACACGCTTTTTATTGGATTTTTCCTTGATAAATCACAGTTGATAAATATGCCAAAGAAAAAACGAAAAAAGTACTATCAAAATTCCGGTTTGGTAAGTTTCATTAGCTTCATTTTATGTTCTATACATTATTTTTTTATTAAATAAATGACATTCACCTTTTAAGAAAACGATGAATAAATCTTAATATTAATCTAAACATTATGTAGCGTCTTTCTTTCAACAAGAATAGTCCTTAAACAAGTGGAAAGTATGATGCCTATCAATTTTTTTAAAAGATATACAGCGTTTCCTTTAATTAATTTTTAAATTACTAGTAAATATTATGTTTTAATGAAAAAACCCAAATCTTGCACACACAAAAACAGGAAATAATGCCATTTGAAAAAATAATTACTTAATGACTTATTTTAACGATGAACGTCACTTATATCTATGGTGGCTTTAAAATTAAATTTGTCCTTGAGATTTAAAATTCGCGGATGCAACTTTTAAAACAAAAACGAAATGAAAAATGAACATACTTCTTCTAATCTGCTAGGTAGAGAATATTAATTACTAACCAGTTGTAGCTTATTGCGAAAATGATTGTCTTACTTCAAACAACAATAAGTATTAGCAATAAATCATACTGATTACACTGAAGTAATTTTTAAAAAACTCGTGAATATTGGGTTAGTTTCAAATTGAATGACTAAAGTGATAGTTTATTCATTTATATCGCATCTTCACTTGCTGTGAAAGCAATTTCAAGAATCCCTACTTTCTCTGCATGCTATGCAAGGAAGTCACTGTGTGTGAAAACACATTTTAGGACACATTTTGGTGCTTTTCGAGGTAGTTGGAGATAGTCCAACTCTTGAAATATTTTGGTGAATGTAGAGTAGCAGTGAAACTCAGGATGAATATTCCGTCTTATCCCGAACTCTTCAACTGGATGTACCTACATTCACCAGTAAGTGATGGTATTTCTACAGAGAGACTCAAACCTAATACTCATCGTCTCAAACATGCAAGCGTTATCTACTAGACCACTTGGACCATGACAGCCACCTCTTGTGCAACGGTACTTTTATTTGAACTGAAAACTGAACTAAATTGAATTTTTTAAATGATAGTCCCACTATATTTACTTACAGGAATCCCTAAGTGATGAATATTCGTGATGTTAAGTTCAAGTTATTCCAGACATAAAATATAGATTGATAAACAATCTTCGGATGTAGTGTAACGGAGTATCTCTCATATTCACCTTCATACTTACAAATGTTAGGCCACAATGAATTCCGTCAGATTTTCATTACACTTTTGAAGAATTTTAAACCTGAACTTATACAGTATTGTAAATTAGTAATGCTTTAGCCAGTAAGAGCATTCTCGCATTCAAATAGATTTATACCAGTATACGGTAAAGCCGATTCATTAAATTTCCCCCAACCAAATAGACATAAGTCACCTTAAAAGTCAATGATCCGTATCTTTAATCACTCAATCGCTATTCATCAAATCATAAATAAATTAGTTAAGCCTAATTTCTTTTTAAGCAGAGAACACTAGTGCGGGGGAGAATATTCTCCAGAGTATACTTATCATTTAAAAATAGCCTACAAAATCCCCTTCAGTAAAAAAACCTTCTAAATGATTGACAATACTTAACTCATTTTCTTTTAATAAAAAAAATTTATATCCTTTTTAAACATTCCCAATAAAACTTGAGGTCATTAGTTAAAAAAAAGTAAAACAATCCACTTTTTCTCCAGAAATACAATATACCAAGAAAAAGGCTTTAATTAGCAATATTATTTATTAATGGAGTGTCCAGAAAACAGACTGAATTATTCTTTTTTTTTCGATGACAGTTGTAAAATTCCTTTTTCTTTGCTTCCTTCAACAGGAAGAAGCATACTACACTTTCTTGCTTCGACCTTCGAATTTGATTTCCTTTATTGAATCTAAAAACTTTTTACAAATACATACTTGAGAATGAAAATAAATTTCACGAGTTGTTTTTGCAAATAGGCTTACAACCATTTTTCCCTTTGTTTTTAATTTATTCCATTAGCAGATTTTGTCACGAACCAAGGAGAACTTGACAGCCATTTTTCTACTAGTTTAGGACTCTAAGTCGGCGCGCAGCCAAAGCCCCGACCAGGGACTGAACCTTTGAATTCTCGCCCATGTGGCTGGATGGCCAATGAGGTTGATCTCGTACTTTTAAGGTCCTGGATTTGGGGCCTGGTGCAGTTGCGAGCGCACACTGCTGAGGAGTCATGAAATGAGATGAAACGGCTTGCCACCGACCCCTGGTTTTCAAACATTTCTAATTGTTCTTGACGATATCTACACTGAAATTATTCCAAATCCCTACAAAACCTCATAATCTAAATACGCATTTTTGCATAAGAATCACTGAAGAAGACCCATAACAGAAACAGATATGACCTGAATGTTTTCATTATAGAGCCTGATATCATATATCATCCATTCTGTTTTGTCCATGAAATTGAATTTGTTTCCTGAACTCATTTCAGAAGTTCAAAACCATAGTTCTTGAATGAATTGACTGCACAGCTTTATCGCATACTAAAAGGATGAAAGGATATTAACCCTGAGAAGCACTTAAGACATCAGAATATTTAGTTATGCTAATATAGGGTTCATAGACATACAGTTTATTCATCTAACTGTACAATTTAAGGCCTAGCAGGTTGCTGTACTTTGAAGAGAAAAGAAGGATAATATGTAACACATTTTATTGCACTGGAAGAAGAGTGAAGTGGTAGTAGTTCTTATTGTTGCTGTTGTTGTTTTTGTAGTAAAAATGATCACTACTGCATATAATTAAGTACAGGATGGCTAAAACAACTAAAAGTCTTTTGAAAATATTCTGAATTTATCAGAGGTCTTTCTATGATTAAAAATAACAAAGCATAGCTGTTTAGACTTCTGATTGACTGATATGAGTGGTTGAACACCACTCACATTAACCAGCAGCGCTAGCTAGCTAGATCGAACTGATGTGAAGACTGCACGGTCGTTTCGATCGTTTAGCTCTAAGCTCTGGGCACTGTGAAAAATGCGAGATAAAATAGTGGAGTATCCACTCTAAGACTCGAACCCGAGTCACCCAGTAGTCTATTCTAGACACTACTACTGGGTTATTCGAACTCGTAACTTACCAGATCTAGGACTGTAAAGGATACATTTACTAGTCACCTGTGGGTCACCAATATGATGCTTCTAGTCCTTGGTGCTGCTGAAGACTGAATTCCATCAGTTCTGTTTCGCGATTCGGTCACCAAGCTAGTTGGCTCACCTCGTAATACACTTTGAACTGATGTTAAGTGGTCAGAGATAATAGACAAGAAGCACTGCACGACTGCAGCTAACTATTCGAACAAATCTACACAATGAAAGTGAGTGAGATTTTCATAACTTCTAAGATAGAGCATTTTATCTATTATAAGTGATTTTCGGTTTCATTCCTGAATGTCTCCAATCATCAGATCCTCCAATTTCCTGTATTAGAGGGGGTTGAATCACGTCATTTGAGACGATTGCAGCATAACTTTACGAAGTAATGTATTGTTGTGAGTATTTTTAATCTTCTTCGTACTAATCTTACTTCAGCTAACATCTAATTAGGTTGTAGGTGGTGAGTATAGGAAATGTGATGGTCTTTTTGGTTTATGTGAAAATTCACAATCTTACCCGGTAACTTAAACTTCTACCTAATACTTTAAGTGCATTCTCGATATCACTTACTTGTTGTTCTACAACATGAAAATAGTAACACTAAAATCAGAATTTCTGTCACAAAATTCATCTTAAATAGGTGAGTTCAACAGTCATGTAATAATAAAACAGTAAACTGTCTCTTGAAGCTCTACTACTCATCAAGTGAAAGTTTATGATTTCCTGAAAAATATTATATTGAGGGACTATTTTATTCCCCCTTAAAAACGTACAAGCATATACCCACCTGTTTTCAATTAGTCAGATAAATCAGTGGTACAAAGACACGGGGAACATACAGATACGCAACCAAATATTACTGTGAAGTCAGCAAGAATTGAGTAAACTTCACAATCAGAATGTTAAAGGTTATTATATGAAACCTTATATTGAAAGACAGCTTATGGCACACCAGAAAAAGAGATCTTGTAGATGAAACATGAACTTTGAGGAGTTTTTCTTTGTTTCAAACATGTGAAAAAGACTGATCCTATCACAATACAATATTTTCTTACATAAACCATGTAAACAGAATAGCACTGTATTCGCCAACCATTTATGTGGTCCTGCAGTTCGATCCGTGGCCTACAAACTCCTTAAAGTCGCTTAGTCGGTAGAAAGCCCAGTACACAGAGAAGGCCATTAGTACTGAAGCTTCAAACTCTCAAAGCTTGAAGCCCTATGTTCCACTCAGAATACAAAAGGATTAATACAACCAAAACAGTTTGGTGTATTAAACAGTAAGCACTATATCATGTATATTGTTTCAGATTGCTAGTCATTTGGCATTACTCGAAATTTAATGCACATCTCAATAATAAACGGATACAGTATAGACTTTTTGGAGCTTAACTGAGAAGTCATGACCCGTGGGATCCATCAAATCAGTTGTAAAGACAGATACTCAGCGATAACATTAGATGTTGATAGTGTTATGCCGAGAATCGAGTTGTTGGAATTACCAGACTGATGGATTTTGATCTGGTGGTCAAATGGTCAAACGGCTCGTTTAATAACCTGTCAATATTGAGAGCGATCTTTGTTAGCGTCATCGGTATTCACTGCTGAATAAGTTCTAGACCAGGACGGAAGCTCTATCTAGTGCCTTCTAGCATTTCCGGTTTCTCTAACTAATGCTGGTTCATGATGAAATCTATCACGAAATGAATTTCCTTAAGTGTGAATTTAAGTTTTACAAAGAAACTATCTTATACATAAGAAAGAAGTAAAAAGATGAGCTTCTTTCTAAAAGAAGGAAAGATGAAACTAATTTCTTAAGTAATCTTTCATTAAAAATGGTACATTTGACTGGCAGTATAGCAATAAACTTACCAATACATTAATTTAAACAGCTCAAC